CCGGGATTACAGAAGGATAACAAATTCAGTCAGACCAGCCTCAGCAATTTAGTGAGGCCTAAGCAACTTAGGAAGACCCTGTCTCAAAAACAAAAGGGGCTGGGGATGTGGCAGCACCCCCTGGGTTCAATCCCTAGTACCATGGGTAGGTAGGTAATATAACTCAGTGGAAAAGTACCCCTGGGTTTATCCCCAGTACTGCCACAAAACAAAAACAAAACGACATCTTCACCCCAACTCCTTAAATTTCCTTCCAATTCTCTTTCCCACTTCTTCCTATGTTCATCCTTAGGTAACCTTTAATATGTTTTCTGTCATTGTGTATTATTTTGCAGTTTTCTAGAATTCTTTTTTAAAAAAAAATATATATATATATATAGTTGTAGTTGGATACAATACCTTTATTTATTTATTTTTATGTGGTTCTGTGTATCAAACTCAGGGCCTCGCACCTGCTAGGCAAGCACTCCACTGCTGAGCCGCAACCTCAGTCCTAGAATCTTATGTTAGAATCACATAGTTTTACTTCTGCTTTTTTGGAGGAGGATGCTGTAGCTTCTTTCACTCAGTGTAACTATTTTGAGAATTCATACATGTTGTGCCTATCATGGTAGTAGATCATTCATTGATGGACACTTATATTGTTTCCAATTTTTACCTAATACAAATAGAGCTCTTATGCACATTAATGTACAAATCTTTGTATAGATATATGCTTTTCCTAGTTTCTATGGAACTCTTTCTTTAAAATGGGCTAGGGCTATAGCTCAGTGATAAATTGTCCCTGGGTTAAATCTCCAGTAACTCCTCCCCCAAGAGACTTTTATTCTCTTAAAATCAACAAGCAAATTGTTTATGTATTTCCTAACTACTTATAAATTGTTTGTGGTCTTCTGGTGGCCAGTCTTAAATGATACTGTGTTAAAATCACACCAGATTATAAATTAAAATTTAAAAACCATGCTTTCAAAATTGTTTTCTGTTGTATAGACATATTGTATTCCTCATATACAAGAGCTTAGGGACTTTAGTTAAAATGGAAAATAGGTGTGTGTTCATGTTGAACAAAAGCAGAAACTAGGAAATGGATAATGTTAATATCAAATATCTGCAAATCTGTAGTAATTTCGTGGGTGACAATTGCTTTTATTTTTAAAAATGCTATCAAATAAAAATAGTTAAGAGAACCATTTTTATTTTTAAAAAGATATAGTCCCATTGCATCACTTACATTTTGTGTGAACTTAACACATAATCATCTTTAAGCCTTGTCTATCCAGTTTTGCGTCTTTGAGCACTCTCGGGAAGTTATTCGTAGCATTACCCCATTTCTCAGGTTGCATGATTAACACAGTATGTTTTTCTTTTATCAGCCTTTAATCAGTTTCTATCCTCTTTACTTTCATGTTTTATAGGAAGGAACTAGCTGTGTATTTATTAGGGAAATTTTCAGTACTGTTACAAATCAAAAAGAAACATTCTTTGAACTGTCCTTTTAGGGATGAGAGAGGGAACTAACATTTATCATCCTGTTGCTCTGTGCTGGCACTGCTGTGGGTGCTTTCCGTACATTCTTTTTTCATGGTCTACCACTGTAGATATTATAAAGACCAGTTTCCTTAGCATGTCCTTAGCAATATAGCTCTGCCTACTTCTCCAGCTTTTTCCATCAATATCAGCTTTGCATCCTGTGCTTCTGCTAGTCTCAGCTTCTTTAAGATCTTTGAATGTGTCTAGTTTTCTCTCTCCTCCAAACTTTTTCACGTGCTGTTCTTCCCTGACCACTGCTCTCTCTTCCCCAGGCTTGTGTGTCTTAAAACTAATTTCTTTATAACCTGAAGGCCTTGGTTTAGGTCTTAGTTCCTTGAACCCCTGTTCTAAACTCCTCTGAGAATAGGGACTGTGTCTTCTTGCTCAACATTTTATCTTATGAACTTGTGTTTAGACATGTTTGTTGAATGAATGAACAAGCAAACAACTTTTGCAAATGGACAATTTTATCCCCAACTCACATAACTAATTAAGTAGTAGACCCAAAAGTTCAAATGGAAGACTGACACAGAAGCCATTTTTCTTTCTACACTAAGCCACTCTGTAGCTGTAAGTCATTAAACATTCTGAGGAAGGCTAACAGGCAAATTTGGTAATTGATGAAACAACATACCTAATTACATAATTGACATAATATAGAAATATAACAAAACCAATTTTCTATAAACCTAATCATTAAAATACTGGCTTTTCCATCTTTTAAGAAGTGGTTTATTCTGATTTTAGACTTACACAAACCAAAATAAAAATACAGTAAAAGCAGACTATAAATTCAGAGTAGATTGCGGGATCCTGAGATGGGTTACCCTGAAAGTATTTTGTTCTGGAAGTCAGAGTCACCTGTCTATCTGGCTATACCACTTTTTTTTTTTAAGTTATATATAGTAGCTGGGTTCATTTTGGCAAAATTATATATGCATGGAATTGACTTAAATCCCTGCTTCCCCCACTTTTCCCTCTCTTCCTTCCTCCCCGTATTCTGCTTTCTCTACTGAACTTTCTGTCCCACTGGCCATAACAATATCTATTTATTTATTTATTTATTTAAATATTGGACACAATACCTTTATTTTATTTACTTTTATGTGGTGTTCAGGATTGAACCCAGGGTCTCACACATGCTAGGCAAGCGCTTTACTGCGGAGCCCTAGCCCCACAACTTGTTTTTTTTCTTTAATTTTTAAAAAAATTTTTAGTTATAGATCGACACAATACCTTCATTTTATTGATTTATGTGGTGCTGAGGACCCAACCCAGTACACCACTCATGCAAAGCAAGCAGTCTACCACAGAGCCACAACCCCAACCTTTTAAATTAATTTATTTACTTTTGCATGCTTACAAAGATAAGTATCTTTGTGTCTCAAGGTACAGCTAAAATGTTAGAATATTTTCTGGAAATTATGCAAAATGCTTTCCTTAAAGGGTTACAGATTCTGTTGCTTCTCTTTTTCCTTCCTTCCTTCCTTCCTTCCTTCCTTCCTTCCTTCCTTCCTTCCTTCCTTCCTTCCTTCCTTCCTATTTTTCCTTTAATCAATCCCTTTTGTATTATATATCTTTTTCTCTAAGGAGAACCTCCTTGTTTTATCCCCTTGAGATCTGTTCATTATTTATCTCTCCAGCCTCATACTTTTCCACCATGCCTCATCTGTCTTTGCTCCACTTATATAGAAGTACTTAAAACTCTGGACTAAGTTTGGTCTCCTCCTGTGGGACCCTTTGCTTATCCCATTTCTAGCATAATGTATTCTTTTGCAACAGTATGTAAGCTGTGTGTCTCCTGTACCAAATTGTAGGCTTCTTTAGAGATTTAACTGTTTGTGAGACATAGAATATCTCTCAGAATCCCCAGGACTTAATTCCAAGCACATATATGGTTATATACTACATTTTAAAGAAACAAGATCATCAGTCAGGCTTGGGCTTCAAATCTCCTTCAATATAAAGTAATAAAGAAGTGGTAGGACAGAGTAAGAAGCAAGAATGTAGTCATTATTTAATTTTCTTGATCTGGGCTTAAAGAATTTGACTTCTGGATTAGATTAGTCTTTAGTAGTTCAAATAATTCCTGTTGCAAGGTGTTACTAGTTTTCCAGTCCCAGTAGTTATCTCGTAGGCTTTTTGAACCAAAGCAGGACATGAACCTACAGTTTCGTCTAAATTAGAGGAGAGTATTCTGCAGAAGTAACCACAATATTTCCCCCCATACACACCTTGGTATTGAACCCAGGGCTTCACGCAAGCTAGGCAAGTACTCTGCCACCCAGTTACATTCCCAGCCCATTTTATTTTATTTTATGATAGAGTCTCACATTGCCCAGGCTGTCCTTGAGCTTGCAATTCTCCTGTGTTTGCCTCCCAAATAGCTTGGATTATAAGTATGCATCACTGTGCCTGACTAACACATAATTTTTAATTTTAAAAAATTGATGCTAAATGTGGCTCAGTGGTAGGCCACTTGCCTAGCATATGTGAGGTTCTGGATTTGATCCAGCACCACAAAAACAAGCAAACAAAAATATAGTAAAAAATAAAAAATGTGAATAAAATCATTCAGTGCACAGATCACAAATCATAGCCCCCCCCCCCAATCATTTTGAAGGCCTTGTTCCATACATCAGACCAAATGCCCATTTAACTTGTATGCCTTGTAAGCTTAGAGTCTAGAATGATTAGAGTCTAGACTTCTCTTTCTGTTGGCTTTTGCTTCCTTATGTTCAGTTGAACTTTGTGTTTTTTTTTTTTTTTAAACATTTCTAATTTAGGACTTAGCCAGGCTAAATACAGAAATCAGTGAATTTTTCACAATTCTTCTCTGAGAATTAAGGAAAGAAGTCCAAATCGGTAGATCCCCCCACCGCCGTTATGTTTGGAAAGCGTACCTATGCCACACGCAACTAGCTGTCTTTTCCACTAAAGCCATGAATGCTTCTAGGCCAAGGACTGCTTCTTACTCCATTTCAGTTCCCTATCACCTAGCTCACTGGCATACAGGTTTTTAACAAGAATCAGTTTTCATCTTCCTATCCTATATTAGTCAAATAAAGACTAACAAAGTAATTGTAAACATCAATGTGGCAACTTATCACAAGATTTAAGTAAGAGATTGAGGAAGATATATATAAGCACTTCAATATTATTTGAACATAAGTAGGTCACCTAGAAGAATTTGAATATTAAGCTCAAACAGAGAAGTACTGAAGTAAAAAGGTTCTTAAAGGTTATTTTTTTATTGTTTTTAAACAACTTAAACCTGCAGAGTTAGGTTGTTTTATTCTTGGAAGTTTTGGCTCACACATCTTTGAGATTCTTGAGAAACTTTACCTATTAATCTAACTTAACAATGCGAATGTTTTGCTGGTGTCAAGAGTGTGTGATCATTGAGCAAGAACTGAAAAGTTTCTATTCTAGGCAGGATCGAGAACTTCTTTTTTTCTAATTCCACACAGACACGTCTTCGGCCTCTGAGGATGAGGGCTCTCTGAGACGCCAAGCTGCGCTCTCTGCTGCCTTGCAACAGAGCTTACAGAATGCTGAGTCCTGGATCAACCGTTCAATTCAGGGATCGTCCACTTCTTCATCCGCATCTTCTACGCTGTCCCATGGAGAGGTCAAAGGAACCAGTGGGTCTCTAGCTGATGTATTTGCCAATACCCGAATAGGTAGGAGCTGAATCTACCTAAGGAGTCCAAATTATGTTTCATTTGGCAACCAGTATTCAGGAAACAATTTATGATTTGTGTTAGGTTTTTCAACGTGGCCTAAAAAACCAGATAATCAGAGAGAACGTGACAGTTAATGAGGCAAAGAAGGAAACACCAGCAATACATTTGTTGCAGGAATGATAGGTATCATCTGCATTATTGGAGCATAGTGTTGCCCACCTGAAGCCATATCTATTTCCATAAGCAATACTCAAGCTGCAAGATATAACACCAGTCTTAGTATTGGTTTGTCCCACTTGAAGAATATTTCATATATTAAAGAGTGTTAAAACATGTAGCATCTTAGAATTCTTCAGGATTGTTGTCTATATTCTATCAAATAAAAATCATTAAACCTGAGCAAATTCTACATTAAACCAATATCAGTGAAGCCCTTTTGTCTTTAGTGTAAAGACTGGATTTATTGTCCTTGCTGCTGTGATATTGCTACACCTGGAATGTGCCAGCTGAGGATGTTGGTAGTCTATGAGCTGCTACCTGCTGCTGATGCTACTGTGTGGAGTACAGCTTTTGCTTGGCTCTGCTTTATGTTTTGTTTGTTTTTTTAAAGAGTTGTGTCATCTGCAAATAAAGATGCATATCTCTGCTTTTGCTAAATTGGTTGGTACAAATCAATCTAAATAATATACGTGAACATTATATATCTGTGATGTCTTTCCCTTCTTTCTTGACAGTCAGTTGCATTTTGGTATCTTTAATTTTCCTCTCAGTGATCTTTCTATATCCTTTATATAGCTTCATTCTATTAATTGATTTCAGAAAATAAAAAATTGGAAAATTTTCATGGTTATAGTTTTTTAAAGATCATAATTACCCTGAGGATATGATTGCCCACATTAATAGCCTTATGCCAGCTGCCATTGACTTTTGTTCTGCATTCTTAACTCTGCCCAGTGTGGAGTTCACTGAGCTTTCTAGAGCAGCCACACACAGGTGTACATGTTTACCATCTCTTCTGTCATGCAGGGTAAGCAACAGAGCCATGGTAGGTGAGCTTTTATTTCCATATCTGTCAAAAAGAGAGCACTTTCACTTATAAAAAGAATTGTCCTATATCCAGTTAATATTATGTGTATTTTTGTTAACAAGATGATTTCATATTTTATAACATATCTGATCTCATATTTTTCTGTTGCTTCATGACTCTGTGAAAAGTTATTGGCTTAGTTATTCACAGAAACCATATTATGCAATGTTATTGCTTTTTGGATGTTCGTTCTCATAGTAGTCCATTTTCCTGATAGGGAAATTAAAAAACAGGTAAAATAAAAATAAAATAATCTATAGTCCCACTTCCTATGGATAACATTTAAATGCTACAACTTTAGTATGTATTCCAGATATTATTTGTTTATGAATATGTGGGGTTTTTGTTTTAATTTTACAAAAATGAAATTGTCTTAAATGTAATTTTCATTTCCTGCTTTTCTTGGCAGTGTATTGTGAACATCTTCTGTATCATTATAAGTATACTGTTATTTTCATGATTTTAAATACAATCAATTGAATGACTGTGACCTGATTTATTTAATCATTCCCCTCTTTTGGACATTTAAGTAATATTGTTTTTTGCCATTTTGCAGATTGCCAAAAGTATTGTGCATTTGTCTGTTTATTTCTTTAGGATATTTTCTATAAGTTGATTGCCGAGTCAAATAAAAATATACATTTTTAATGCTTATGTTTCTACATTATCCTACAGAAAGGTATACTGCAATGTACCTGTGCTTATATATTTCAAACTTTTTTGTCCCTCAGTACTGGGGATTGAACCTAGGTTTGCTCTCCATTGAATTATATCCCTAGCCCCTCCCTCCTTCCCTCCCTTCCTCCCTCCCTTCCTCCCTCCCTCCCTCCCTTCCTTCCTTCCTTCCTTCCTTCCATATTTTTTTAGTGGTAGATGGACACAATATCTTTATTTATTTATTTTTTAATGTGGTGCTGAAGATCAAACCCAAGGCCTCACACATGTGAGGCAAGAGCTGTACCACTGAGCCACAACCCAGCTCATCTTTTAAAATTTTATTTTGAGACAGGGTCTCTCTAAATTGAATGTGATGACCTCAAACTTGTGATCCTCCTACCTCAGGCTCCATAGTATCTGAGATTACAGTTGTACACCACCGGGTCCAGCTTATTTCAAATATTCAAAACTTTTAAAATAGTAATTAGAGACATTTTGTGTATAGAATCCTTATCCCCAATTGATTTTAGAAATTGTTTATATTATGCTTTTTTCTTTTTCATATTTTGTAGTGATTTTTCATTATTCTTATGAATCATGTATTTTAACTCTTATTTTCTCATTACTTTTCCAGATGTTTTCTTCTGTGTTTTTTGTAACATATCCCTGGTCAATGGATCTCTTTGAATTTATATCATTTCTCTGTGTTAAGAATCTTCTTTATGAATTAGCATATAATAACACTATTTAATCTCTGCTTAGAGCAAGGGAAGATCCTTGTCAGATAGATCCAAATTACCTATGGATATTTTATAAAAGTGAGAAGTGGACTTTACGTGTTTTCCTTCATCTGAAAATGAACAGTCTTAAGACACTATTTGGTCTTTCATGGAAGTGGAAGCATTCCAGATAAAATAAAGAAATGTTCAAGAAACTAGAATATGAATAGTTAATAAGGATCTTAATTTGGTTCCATTTTGAAGTCACTTGTAACTTTTATTTTGTTATAGCGTTGGATTTCTACTAACCTTTCTATGTATATTTAAAATAATGTTGTAGAGAAACATGTCCTTATGATGTGATCTTACTAAGGCTACCTAAATCTTGAAAGTATTAATTTGGGAAAGCTGACATGTCCTGACTTAACCTCTGATTTCCCCATTATATTTTGGTAGTAGAATTTGACTTAAAACTTGTTTTACAGGAGTTAATGCTCTATTTATGTAGTTTTTTTCCCTTGTTTAAAAACAAAGATTTAGTGGTTCTTACTTTTTGCCGCTAATGTCCTATAATTCTAAATTCTGTTTTCTCCTCTCTAGAGAATTTCTCTGCGCCCCCAGATGTCACTACAACTACCTCTTCTTCCTCATCATCATCCTCAGTACGCCCAGCAAATATTGATCTGCCCCCCTCGGGGATAGTAAAAGGCATGCACAAAGGATCCAACAGGTCCAGCCTTATGGATACAGCTGATGGTAGGTAGCTCTTTTTGGTAACTAAATAGGGAGTATAAATTAAACTGTAAAAATACAAATTCTAAACAGTAGTTCCTAACCATCTATTTCAGTAGCTGTAAGACTACATTGCATTGGGCTCAGTTTCGACAGGTCATCTGAGTGCCTTCTTCAAGAAAAGCATGCTATAAGAGAAAAGGGAACTTAGGTGAAATCATAAAGAAGTGTATTAATAATAACACCATATTTGTTCTTTATTGCCATCGAACTTGTGTACATACTTGTACCTGTTTGGTCCAGTTAAAATAGAGTGAGACTGGGGAAAGGCCATCACTAGAAAAATAAGCTCCTGAGGGAATTGAGGAACTAAAATATCCTTTTCAAGTCAGTGAATTTTAACTTAACTCATCTCTTTTTCCTTCCAGGTGTCCCTGTCAATAGCAGAGTATCCACAAAAATCCAGCAGCTTCTTAACACTCTGAAACGACCCAAAAGGCCTCCTTTGAAGGAATTTTTTGTAGATGACTCTGAAGAAATTGTGGAAGGTAGTAGTAAAAATGCCAAAAACATATTTCTTAAACAAATATTTCTTAATCATTTATTATATGTCAATACATAACCTTAAAGGATGAGCAAGACATAGATCTTGGATTTAAGAGTTCAGACTTCTCTACTCGTTTTTTCCTAAAGATCATTTATATTTTAGTTCTCAGGTGAAAGGTAAGGATGGAGGGAAGGAGGAAAAGGGCAAAGAGATAACTATAGGACATAAAACTCTTCCTTGAACTGGGCATAGTGGCATATGCCTGTAATCCCAGCAATTTAGGAGGCTGAGGCAAGAGAATTGGAAGTTCAAGGTCAGCCCCAGCAACTCAGTGAGACCCTGTCTCAAAATAAAAAGGGTTAAGAGATGTAGCTCAGTAGTAAAGTGATCCTGTGTCAAATCCCCAGTACTACCCCTCCTCCAGAATGAGAACTATTCCTCAATAATATATTCTTTGAGTTTAGGAAATACAAATACACAATTTTAAAAGTTACTTATGTTAGACATCAAATTAAATTAGATATTAAATTCAACTTCAAGGGCTGGGGATGTGGCTCAAGTGGTAATGCGCTCGCCTGGCATGCACGGGGCGCTGGGTTTGATCCTCAGCACCACATAAAAATAAAATAATGATGTTGTATCCACCGAAAACTAAAAAATAAATATTTTAAAAAAATTCAACTTCCAAAGTTTGCCCAGGCTTAGCCAGGCTCCATGGCACACACCTGTAATCCCAGCTACTCAGGAGGCTGAGGCAGAAGGATCATGTCTGGGCAACTTAGTAAGATCCTGTCTCAAAATAAAAAGGGCTAGGAATGTAGCTCTGTGGTAGAGTACTTGCCTTGCATGCTGGAGGCCCTGGATTCAATCAACAGTACCATCAAAAAATGTTCCCAGTCTCTTTTTCATTTAACATAGTCCTTTCATTAAATCATCCAGTCGACATATATATTTGCCTTCTGAATCATAGTGTGGTAGATGGTGAAAAAAGTTTCAAGATTTAGGAAAATGCACTCTTCCTTTGTGTTGTTTGTGATTTAAATAAGTGCTAAAATATATAGATGTGGAAACTTACTTAGCCAATAAGTTTGTATCAGTGAATATATACAACTGTGAGAAGAGAAGAAATTAGTTCCATCTGTGTGGTTAAAGAAGACTTCACAGAGGAATAGGTAATCATCAGTGTTTTATTCATTCAATAAATTTTTAAATATTTATGGATGAAATCATGTCTAGGATATAATAGGGAAAGATGAGCAGAGAATGGGTGTGAGCACAGATAAAATGAAATGACCATTTGATAATTATTGAAGCTTGGTGATGAATAGACCTACCTAACAAAGCCTTTGTCAAAGAGAGAGCAAGTGAGAAGCTTTTGTCCAGAGAACTAAGCCTTAGTGGCTTTGTAGTTTGTTTTTATGCCCTGAACTAATAGTAGCTTTGATCACATCAGGCTATTAATATAATTAGGCACATTGGTAGGCTAGATCCAATCTTAGCCCAGTTCATGCACCAGGAGGCAAAAAGCAATTTGACATATGAGGTTAAGATTCTGTTTCTTCAGGAGTCACTAAATTCACTGAACTGTGGACATGCTTCTTTTTGGGAGTGGGGTGGAAAATGGGGATTTAACCCAGGGGCAGTTTACTACTGATCAATATCCATACCCCATTTTCTTTTCTTTTTATTTTGAGGTAGTCTTGCTAAGTTGCTAAGGGTCTCACTAAATTGCTGAGGCTGACCATGAACAGTCTTCCTGTCTCAGCCTCCCCAATGCTGGGATTATAGGTATGTGCAACCACATCTGGTAGATGTCTTTCCTGATGCACTGATATTCAAAGTGCTAGCATTGGGCTGTGGCTATGGCTGTGGCTCAGCGGTAGTGCACTTACCTGTCATGTGTGAGGCATTGGGTTCGATTCTTAACACCATATATAAATAATAAATAAATAAATGGGTAAAGTTCTATCAACAACTTAAAAATATTAAAAAAAAAAGTGTTTAGCATTGTATATTGGCCTGGCACGAAATGAAAGTCAAGGTTTAAGAGAGATCACACTTAACAATTTTCATTGGCAGAATAGAGCTAACAGTGTTCTCCTGATTAAAAATAAGTAACAATTGCTTGATTTGAGTAATTAATGTTTGGAAAAGGGGGAAAAAAAAAAACCCTATATCTTTGGAAGTCTGAAAGTCTGAGCCCAAAGCATAGTCTTTCAGAATTCCGAAGGCCTAGTGGAAAACGGCAATAGTATACACATTATTTACCTCCAGTTCTTGGAAAGATGGTGTTAAAAATCTAACTTTAAAAACAAATTCAGTTCAGTTCAACTAACATTTTTGAGCAACCTCCAATGTTACAGGTAGTGGAGAAAACAAAAAGAAAGAACCATCCCTTACCTTAGGAAGCTGTCAGGTTGCAGAGACTGTGGGATACATGTCTCATAATGAAAGCCATTGAGGATCCTCTGTTTTAATAAGGGTAGAGTACCATATAAGGTGGGAACACTAAGGAAGGAATAGTCTCCTTAAGGAGTGATTGGGGTTGGTCCCCAAATAATGTGCTGTTGGAATGAGTGCTGAGGAGGATGAGTAAAGGGGTTAGATGTTTGAAATGTATGCAAAGGGCAAGATGTGATGGCTCATATCTGTAATCCCAGAGACTCAGACCTGCCTTAACACTGGCCACAAACTGTAAAGAATGAAAAACAAGTTTACTAATAAATTTGAAATTGCTAAAGAGAAATTTACACTCTGTGCTTTTTTTTATATGTGCAGTGATTTGTTTTTTCACTGTTAGATATTATTTGTTGCGTAAGAACATGTTGAATGTGATTTTACAATTCAGTGGAAAATTCAAATAAGGCCCAGTTTGTGGAAACCACCATTTCTAACCATGTCTTTTCTCAAAGTCAGTTTAAACCAAATGATTATGAGGAGAAGAGGGAAGTGTGTTTGACATTAGAGCTGTGTAAACTCATGCATGGATTTATTTATTTCACCTTACTGATTTTTGGTATAGTACCTCAGCCAGACCCCAACCAGCCCAAGCCTGAGGGGCGGCAGATGATGCCTGTGAAGGGAGAACCCCTAGGAGTCATCTGTAACTGGCCACCTGCGCTGGAATCTGCCCTGCAGCGATGGGGTTCCACCCAAGCCAAGTGCCCCTGTCTGACTGCACTTGATGTGACAGGGAAACCAGTTTACACACTTACATATGGTGAGTTTACCAGAGTGCTAATCCTTCTTTTCTAAGAGTTTCTCACAATATTATGGGTAGTATTTCTTTTGATATTTAGCAGTTGCTGGTTATTATGTTTTAGAAGATCTTGTCAATTATTTAATAGGTTCCTAAGTAGTAAGTAAAGCTATTGTGAAATATTTTCATTTGCTGAAGTGACATTTGCAAGCCAGCTGATGTTTAAAGACAGCAAAAAGAAGAGAGATTGTACATCCACTGATGTTTTGAAATTAAAAAATGGTCAGTATTAATAATGTATGGAGAAAATCAGATAGTCTTATTTAAAAATTGAAACTTACTATTTTTTTTAGATCTTTACTTTATCCTTAATTTTGCTTATAATAGGCACAAAATTCTATAATGAACAAAAAAATCAGTACTTTTAAATTTAATTCCATGTAAAGTTTTTGTTTGCTTACTTTTTGTAGTCCTGGGTGTTGCATTCAGGGTTTTTAGGCATGCTCTAGGCAAGTGCCCTGCCACTGATACATTTCCCCAGCCCCTAAAGATTTTTCTTTTTTCCTTCCCACCACCCCCTTTTTGAAATAATTTTAAGAAACATGGAGTCAGTCCTGGGTTGTGAGATTTTATACTAGTTTATTCAAACAGATTTCTTTTCCTCTTTCCACACACATTGTCTATAGACCTAGACTGAAAATAGTTTTTGAGGAAAAAATAAGTATTTATTTAAAAGAATTTGCAGGTTGAACTAGTTTAAACTTTGGATGGCCCTCTGAAAAGGTTGTATATAAAAATAACGTATCTATTTAAAATAGCATTATTTCTTTTTTACCTTTCTCATGATTTGAACTAAGAATTTCTAGGGCTGGTTGAGGGGAGGGAATAGTAGGAAATTGGAAATAAAAGGATTTTCTTTCTTTTTTGCCAAAATAGTTTTTCACCACAGAAGTTGTATACTAATTTCATTCACATAATCCTTAAAAAAGTCATTTTAGCTGGCCAGATCCATACATTTTTATTTAACATCTATGAATATATCCACATTTCATATAATCAGTTTCCATTTTATTGTGTGTTTGTACTGACTTACAGTGGCATGAAATGTTGAGTCATCGGAGTCTTTTTTTTTTTTTTTTGGCACCAGGGATTGAACCCAGGGCCACATGAGTCATATTCCCAGCCCTTTTTATATTTTGAAATAGGGTCTCACTAAGTTGCTTAGAGCCTCAGTAAGTTGCTGAGGCTGGTTTTGAACTTGTGATCCTCCTGCCTAAGCCTCCCAAGCCACTGGGATTATAGGTGTGCACCACTGCAACCTGCTGAGTCTTACCTTTGTTTTCCTGTTACCTCATGTATCTGAAAGCACCTATATGAATGATTCTTCAGAAGAAGCTTCAGAAGAAGCTCAGTTCTACAAAACAAAAATTGTTTTCTTCCCTGAAAATGTGATTGTCTCACATCAATTTATTCCTAAGGCTATTCATATAACTTCAGAAAAGAAGTAATGTCAATATTGAAGTGGTTTCATGATACTTTTAAAATAACATGTTAATGAAAATTCTTTAAACTATCTTCTCCTATTTTTTGTTATTAGTTTTGCTACTTTTGTTGTAAGGCTTAAGCCTATCTACCTCCTATAAACCAGAGTGACATTTTTATTTCAAGGCAGGACTAGCTCTTATAAATTAGAAAAAATATAAAGCTTTGGGGGTACTTTTATTTTGTTTTGGGTGAGGGGTGGTACTTATAGAATCTATTAATTGAAAGTAGCTATTGTCTTAGTTACCTTGATTAACTGCATGCTTTCTTGTTGAGATAGCTTGTGTTTTTTCTGTGTGACTCTTCTTTTTTTCAGGAAAGTTGTGGAGCAGAAGTTTGAAGTTGGCCTACACACTGCTTAATAAACTGGGTACCAAAAATGAACCTGTGTTAAAACCTGGAGACAGGGTAATTGATTTTTTGGTTTTAGAAAAGTGGTGTTTATTGTTTTCTAATTAATATGCACCTTCTGGGGACTTTTTTGGTTGTTTATTTTTTGTGGTACTGGGGATTGAACCCAGGGGTTTTACATATGATCTGCCACTTAGCTGCATCTCTAGCCTGTACCTTCTGAAGTTTTAATGTACAACAGGAAAATTTATGTAATTCTTACTTTTAGAAAACAAAAATGGTTTAGTTCTAACCCAGGTTAGCCCAAGGCCAGGTAATGGTTCTTGCATTCAGAGACTGAGTCAGTTCACATGTCCCTTTCTGAAGCTGTTCTTTTGTAAACTCCTAAGGTGCCAATAAAAATGAAACCTAAGTTTTTCTGGAAATAATTTTTTTCATTCTTTTTTGTATTGAATCTTGAACTCAGGAGTGTTTTGCCACTGAACCACATTCCCACCCCTTTTTATTTTTTATTTTGGGATAGGGTCTCACCGAATTGTTGAGACTGACCTTGAACTTGTGGTCCTCCTGCCTCAGCCAAGTTGCTGAATGACAGGTGTGCACTAAGCACCTGGCTTAATATACTTTTCTATCTAGAGAGATCCACTACATTTATTTTATTGCTTTAGTCCTGTAAAATAAATTGCCTTGGGTTTCCTAAGTAATTACTACTTAAGGCAAGTAGCTTACTGCTAAATCACCAATAAAATTAACTGAAAAATTATTATGATAATGATGATGAATTACATTTTTATTTACCAAAATGTATAGTAGTATAATTATGAGAATGATGGAGATCTTTTTAGATTTTTTTTGTTCTTCTCGGTAACTTACTTTCCTTTAGAACAATGCCTAATAGTTTGATTTATTATGTTAGTGATAAATATTATATCCCTTAGAGAATGATATTGAAAGAATTACTTTGTTTGTATTCCTCTATTATTGAATGTCTTTTTGCATTTTAGGTAGCCCTGGTTTACCCCAATAATGATCCAGTCATGTTTATGGTAGCTTTTTATGGATGTCTCCTGGCAGAAGTGATTCCAGTGCCAATAGAGGTACCTCTTACCAGAAAGGTAACATTGTTAAATTAAGAGAAATATAGCCCAGTAACATGACAGGCATTGGGTTCTTGTTGGATTAGTTAATACAGTCACAACATTGAAAACAACTGACTATTTTCTGAAGTACTTAGATTCTCTTTCTAAAAACATGAAAGTTGTAGAAAATTTATGTAATATTTTCAAGTATCCTACAAAGAACAACTAAGATAGTTTTTTCCCCCTTTTGATGGTACTGAAGATTTAACCCAGGGTTATTCTGCTACTGAGATATATCCCCAGCCCTTTTTTATTTTTATTTTGAGATAGGATCTTGCTAAGTTAACCAGACAGACCTCAAACTTGCAATCCTATTGCCTTGGTCTTTCAAGTCATTGGGATTAGAGGCATGCACTACCATACCTAGCTAAGGTAAAATTTTAAAGAATTTTTATAGTAATTGTGTGTCATATAAAACTCAGGGAGACTTACTGTTTTTGTTCTTTATTTTGTATCAGGGATTGAACCCAGGGGCACTGAACCACTGAACTATATCTTCAGCCCTTTTTATATCTTTATTTTGAGACAGGGTCTCACTAAAGTTGCTTGGGGGTCTCACTAAGTTGCTGAGGCTGGCTTTGAACTTGTGGTCCTCCTGCCTCAGCTCCCGACTCACTGGGATTACAAGTGTGCACCAAAAGGGAGAGTGATACAGTAGTGGTGTGGGCCTACTCTGGATTATAGCATTTTACTTTGACAATACATCAGTCCTATTAAATGGAGGACTACCTAACAAATTTCCATATTTTACTAAATGATTTCTTCATGAGCTTTTACCCTGATTTTCTCATGCTATTTATTACTGAGAGTTGTCAGAGATAAAAATATTGGATAATGTGGATTTATAAGAAAAAATATTCTTTGAAAAAAAAAAAACAAACTGGTAACATTCATGAAGTTCTAGTTGGTGGTATGTAGTAATCTCCATTGGTCACAAAATTATAGAGTTCTTCAGTTATTAAATTGACAGTATTTATAATGATACTCTTATATGACATGTTAATGAAAATTCTTTAAACTTCTATTTTTTGTTATTAGTTTTGCTACTATTGTTGTAAAGCTTAAGCCTACCCCCTTTAAAATAGAATAATAAAAGGAATATATTTATTTGGAATAATTACATCGTGACTTTCATTGTAAATTTGGACACTGGTATACATTTACCTTATTATTATTATTATTTTTTCTAACATGAATTACCTTGCTCTTAAATGTGGGGTAGGGCTATGGGATGACAACTGTGTTAGTATTTATTTCATTTGCCTAAAAGAATATCATTGATGACCCTTAAATAGAATGTTCACATATAGCTAGTAGAATTCATAATTAGCAATGTCAGGTTAATAAAATATTTGGTTATACTTAGGAAATCATTGTGCTGTAGAAATTATTGGAAGAACATATTGTCACTGGATTTTGACATTTGCCAGAAATCGGTGGGGCTTCAGTGCTATCATACAAGTGCCAGAGCATTATGAAGTGCTAGATTTGGGTCATAGGTGTGCTCACATTCACTGTCCTACTGTGCTTATTATCTTTTCTCTACAGGATGCCGGAGGTCAGCAGATTGGCTTCTTGCTAGGAAGCTGTGGTATTGCCTTAGCTCTAACCAGTGAAGTTTGCCTAAAGGGTCTGCCAAAAACACAGAATGGAGAAATTGTACAGTTTAAAGGCAAGTAATACTTATACCCAGATTATTAGTTAAAAGTTAAAGCTGAATGCTTTAATTAGCATTTTAACTTAGTAACAACTGAGTACTTTATATATATTTTCTTATTTAATTCTTACAATCTTACAAAGTAGGTACCATTATTATCCCCATTTTCAGGTAAAGAAACTAAGAAATAGGTTATCCAAAGTTACAGCTAATAAATAGTAGAATAGCAATTTGAACCCTAATCTGTCTGATTCCACACTCTTACCTTTATGCTTCTGGTTGAAAAAAAGTTACCACTCTCTACATTAAAGCTAAATGTAGAGTCAGAGGATAAACAACTAACATCAGTGGACTTCCACTGCCAGATGGACCTCCCTATTGTTGAGGTAATGCCAAGTCTTGGAATTAGCATGTGGAATTATTGTACTGTGTATTTTATTGATTATAAAAATGTCTTTAATTTGGTCTCTTGATATTTAAAGTGACCAATTAAGTGTAAACTCCTTCCCTGATAACTTAGGCAATTCCATTTATACTATGGGTTTGATTTAGGTTGGCCCCGGCTCAAGTGGGTTGTAACAGACTCCAAGTACCTTTCAAAGCCACCTAAAGACTGGCAGCCCCACATCTCTCCTGCTGGTACAGAACCTGCATACATTGAGGTAAGTCCCGAGACTATAAACGTGCTTTCTAGCTTTCCTTTGGCCTGAGTTGCAGGAATTTTGTTTTTTGTTTGTTTGCTTCTTTGTTTTTGTTTTTTTAAATTGTGGTGCTAGTGATTAGTTGTATTTTTCATGGTAAAAGATCCTCTTCTGGGACTGTACTGGGAGCAGTGGTGCATGCCTGAGGACAGAAATTCAAAGCCAGCCTCAGCAACTTAGCAAGGCCCTAAGCAACTTAGTGAGAGCATATCTCAAAATAAAAAATACAGAGGGCTGGGACTGGGGCTCAGTGGTTATGCCCCTGTGTTAAATCCATGGCACCAAAGGGGGGAAAAAAATAAAGATTCTCTTACTTTGTGAGATTATCATCTTTGGGCTTGTAAATGCTTTTTATTCTAAATGTTTTTATCATAAATACTCATATAAGAAAAAAGATAGCAAAGAAATTGATTCTCCATGTAAGAAAGTTATTAAAAAAAAAACTTTAGAGAGGTACAAAGGTTTAAGAAATGATTTATTTTTTAAAATATATTTTTAGTTGTGGATAGACCTTTATTTTATTTATTTATTTACATGTGGTGCTGAGAATTGAACCTAGTGCTTCACACATGCCAGGCAAGCGCTCCACCACTAAGCCACACCCCAGCCCCAAGAAATGATTTATTAGCAGAGAAATTTATTTGCTGATCTTATAGGTGAGTCAGGAACAAGGTTATGGAGAAATGAGAAGGGAAAATATCTGTGCATGGAAAGAACAAGTTCAACAGATGGAAAATAAAGAGCAAGAAGAAACAGAGGGTTTGGTATTGAAGGTTAGTGTAGGACCTTGATTGTAGGAACTTGGCAAAATGATCTAGTTGTGGGATCAAGTCTTGCTGTATACCAGGTATCAGGCTAAATGCTTCAAATGCATTATTTCATTGAGTCTGAACATTTATTATAAAACATGCTTTTTAGATGAGAAGACTGAGACTCATAAAACTTGAGTAACTGACCAAATATTGTATGACCTACAAATAAGTGAATCAGTACTATTTTCTTTCAATCCCCTATACCAAAAATAAAAACAAATTAGTGTTCAACTCTTAGTCTATATCATATCTTAGTGTTGACACGGCTCATCATTCCATTTTCCTTAAAACTTTAGTCATAGGCTTCCTAGACTGTTCTCTCAGTTCTTCAACCTCACTGACCATACCTTTTCAGTCTTCTTCTTTGGTTTCTCCGAAAAAGTTGAGGACCCTTACTTAGCTCTCTGACCTCATGTAGAACTACTATGCCCCATATTTTTAGGCTCCTGTTCTCATGAATTAATTGAAATTCTTACTTGAGACCCTCATATTACCTACAGGACTCTGCTGCTGGATTTAAAGTAGTATGGATAAAAGGGATCTACTGAAGGGTTGTCAGCAGGAGAGTAAAAAATGAGTTTGTTATAAGATACATCTAGATTGGTTGGGTTATGAAAAACAGACCAGCTTTTTCTGTTGTCTAGGTAAGCCCAAGGTTGTGTTAGTAGAAACAAAGGGAAGTAGGTGGAGTTGTGAGACAGGAAGTAGGGCAGGCAAGACTGATACTGGAGAGGGAGAATGCAAGAAAGACCCTGGTTTCTGACTTGGGTACTTGGATTGATGGTGGCATTCTTCATAAGATAGAAGTCATTAGAAGTTTTCATGGGTGGAAGTGGGATAATCAGTATTTGATATATTGAGTTTCACAGGACTAGGGCCCCTCCAGGGGAACACTTGACACATTGTTATCTGGATCCCTGAAGAGAGGCCTGGGTGGAGATTAGAGAATGAGGAATCATCAGGAATGTAGTACCCTGAAGAATAGGGTGAAAAGAAGAGGAAGGAGAGTTGAGCTCTAAGAGAGCACCAACATTTAAGGGCTTGTCAGAGACTCTAAGGAAGAAACAGGAAACTAGAAGAGAGGAAAGATGACCAAAGTCAAGGAAGGAGACAGTGTCAAAAAAGAATAGTCAAATGTACAGGAAGTTCTGGTTAAAGTACAAAAAAAGACAAAAGAGCTGTCCCCACTTTTCCTCTTTTCTTTTTTCTCTCTTCCCTCCCTCCCTCCCTCCTTCCTTCCTTTCTTTCTTGTCTTTTTTTTTTTTTTTTTTTTAAACAGGACTGGGGATTAAACCCATAGGTACTCTGCCACTGAGCTGCATCCCCAGTCTCCCAGACTCACCTCTTTATTTGGTACTGGGAGTTGAATTTGGTGGCACTCAACCATTGAGCCACATCTCCAGCGCTTTTTTGTATTTTATTTAGAGAGACAGGGTCTCACTGAGTTGTTTAGCGCATAGCTGTTGCTGAGGCTGGTTTTGAACTTGCAATCCTTCCTCAGTCTCCTGAGCGCTGGGATTACAGGCGTGCACCCACTGTACCTGTCCTCCCAGCCCTTTTTATTTCTTATTTTTGAGACAGGATCTTGCTCAGTTGCCAAGAGTGGTCTTGCATTCCTCTTGCCTCAGCTTCTCAAGTGACTGCAATGACAGGCATGTTGCCACCATGCTTGGCTGCAAAATGTCCTTTTGATTTAACATCAATAAAGCTGATAGCTAACTCAGGAGGCTGAGGCAGGAGGATTTTAAGTTCAAGGCCAGCCTGAGCAACTCAAGGCAACTGAGCACTTCCCCAGTCCTTTTAATCTTTTTATTTTGAGACAGGGTGTCACTAAGTTGCTGAGGCTGATCTCAAACTTGGGATTCTTCTGGCTCAGACTTTTTTCTTGTCATCATTCCCTATCAAAACAATATAACATCTATTTATTTAACAGTTACATTGTATTAGATATTATAAGTAATCTAGAGAAGAGATAAAGTCTACAGGCAGAAGAACCAGGTTATGTGCAAATACTATGTCATTTTTTATATAAGAAACTGAGTATCTTCAGTTTCTGGTATGTGAGTAGAGTCTTGGAACTAATCCCACATGGATATCAGAGGACAACTGTGTTTGGTATTGTGCTTCTATTAATGCAGCTCAAATTACTTCTTTTTGGCTTTTTTAGCAGCCACTTCACACTTATGAGTAATTAAACTTTTTAAGTCTTTTTCATACATAAATTTGTTGAGCTTTGTCATCCCCCAAACTCTATGAGTAGAGTTTGGGATCCAAAGTGTATAGCCTTAATTAATTATATTCAGTAAGTTAAATTGAGCCCATTATGAATGTTTACCTGGGTTTTGGTTTTGGATTCTAGTTTTGTAATTTAAAATAACCCCTTTTATTGTGTTTCTTATATTTTGTTTGTGTTTTATTTTTCTAGTATAAAACAAGCAAAGAAGGGAGTGTAATGGGAGTTACAGTGTCCCGGCTTACAATGTTGTCTCACTGCCAAGCTCTGTCACAGGCCTGCAATTATTCTGAAGGTCAGACCTCATCTTATGACTGCCCTCATTGTTAGCCTCAAAAACATGTGATTGTGAGCAGAGTGCTCAGTGATTGGATTCATTTTAATGACCAAATTCAAAGGGAAATGTTCTAATACACATTCTTGTTTGCAAATATGCTGTAACTTGAAGGAACTAAAATTCTGGGCAAACCAAATATGTAATGCATGATTTATAGAGTACAGAAATAGAAAACCCTAATTAAAACCAAGTGTTTATTAGCTGTGGGGTCTCTGGTTTCTCCATTTTCCTGAGTGTAGAGAATTGGCCCCTATACATTTGGAGTCAAAATTCGGCTAACCAAACAGTACAGACTAAAATGCAAGTAAGTTTCTGTAGTGTCAGACTTGATATGTTGACACATATTGTATTACTACTCTTTGCTTTAGAATGTTCTTTATCATATTAATCTTTTGTGTTTTATTTTCCTTTTGCAAAATGCAGCATATTAATGTATGTTCATTTTATAGCAGTATTCTCATCTGATTAAAAAATGTATATAATTGTAGTAATCAAAATGCCCCAAAATAGGGATTGATAAAATTATAATGCATTCATATAATGGATTATACCCTGTGGCAGTAAAATGCATGTTCCTGAATGTTAAAGCTATTTTTAAGTGGAAAAAAATAAAAGTAGATATAGAGCTGTGGACACTGATTTTGTTATGTTGGATATGTATATGTAACTCTATCTACAAGTTTATGTGTGTATAGACGTAGAGTATATATGCATGCATACACATATATACATACATACACTCTCAGACACAGTTTTTATTTCTCTAGAGAGCATAAGTTTTTACATAAATTTGTGGAAATTCCAAAGTTTCCAAAATTAAGTATGTGTTCTTTATAAAATTAGGAAAAAAAATCTCCTGGAAGAAGTGCCTAAGTGATCAGGAATTTCTAGTGTCTGCTGTGACCCTGTAACATCACCTTGTTATCAGTCCTCCAGCTAGTTTGAGGGGGCCTCACACAGTCAGAAGACCCCGAGAGTTCTTAATCAGTTCTCTAAAAGCACTAAATCAGTTGTTTAGTAGAGGCAAGTGACATGATTTTGCTTTTTAACATTAAAGATTGTTTCTTTGTGTTCTCTCTCTCTCTCTCTCTCTTTTTTTTCCCCTATTTTAGGAGAAACAGTCGTTAATGTTTTAGACTTCAAGAAGGATGCTGGGCTGTGGCATGGCATGTTTGCGGTAAGCTACTTAAAATTAAGGCATTTAGTGTAAGTTATACTTAATGTTAAAGCCATAGATTACCTCTGTGTTTCTTTGGTATTTAAGCCCCCAAAAGATGAATAATATATTCTAGAGCACGTCTAACCTTTCTGTTGCACAAAATGTATTGAAGATTGCTATGCATAAGCTACATGCTCCAACTAAACAAGAAAGTAATATGGTAGATGGGGATACTTTCTATAATAGAGAAATAGGTGACATGCTATGAGTGGCTAAGGACCCCTAGGTTCAATCTCCAGTAGCATCAAAACAACAAAACAAGGGAACTACACAACAGTACTACATAACAGTACTATAAAACAGTTCACAAAGAATTGTGTAGCACTGTTGTACTGATTTTCATAGATTTATCTCTGAAACAATGAGTGTTAGAAAAAGATGACTTCCTTCTGTCCCTCAGCATTGAGGCAGTTGTTATGGAAGAGATAGCAGCTGAGTTGGACTTTGAAAGATAGATAAATGTCAGCAATATAGAGATTTAGGGGTATAGAGGTAGAGAGAGGTGATATATCATGTGGGAAAGCTACATTACATAATATGACATGTTGGAGAGAGAAAACATATGGGATCCTAGAGTTGAAAAGGAACTCAAGGAGCATCATCCAATTTACTTAGATATATAAGAGTTAGAGAGTAGAAAATGAAGTCTGAGGAACAGGTCACCCTGTATCCCCTAAATTAGGAAGAGCTTTATTCCATGAGTGTTCCTACTGCCTTGTTATTTTTCTTTTCCATTTCCTTTTTTTTTTTTTTTTTTTTTTAAGTTAAAATACTTTGTGAGAAGTTAAGGGGAATCTCCTTCCTGTGATACAAAGTATAAGATAGGTACATAATGTGAAGAATTAGCCATAAACACTCTTTTCTCTAAAACCAAATTTTGTCACCAGAGTTAGAAACTTGAGGAAGGAAGGAAATGGTATCTTACATGCTGTCTTGGTTCTTTGGGTCACTTAGGTGTGAGCATGGTGGCCAGTCTAAATACTATCTAAATACTAGGATTTGTTTACTCTGTCCAGCTGGGTCTCTGGGCACAGGGGATCTGAGTATGTTTGGTTTGGGTGGCAGAAGAGACACCAAACTTCATGACCCTTGATTCCCTCAGTTTTGTCTAACCAAACACTGAACAGGTCTCGCCACCTGTGAGAAGCAGGAGAAATGATGTTTTTGCTTTGTAATACCCACTCTGCTGGTCACAAGTGGAGCACACCTGTGATCCCAGTGGCTCAGGAGGTTGAGACAGAAGAATCATGAGTTCAGAGCCACCCCATCAAAGCAACTCAGTGAGACCCTGTCTCTAAACAAAATACAAAATAGGGCTGGGGATGTGGCTCAGTGGTTGAATGCTCCTGAGATCAATCCCTGTTATCAAAAAACAACAAAACAAAAAACACCCTCCTCTTTGTGGTATGTGACAAGTTTGAGCATGAAAAAAGCATTTGATGGGTTGGAGAGAACTTTGACTATATCTCTAACATTTAAAAAACATCTACCATGGCCTGAAAAAGTATTGGTGCATGCCTATAATCCCCGCAACTCCAGAGGCTGAGGCAGGAGGATCAAGAGTTCAAAGCCAGCTTCAGCAACTTTGTGAGGCCCTCAGCAACTTAGCCAGACCATGTCTCAAAATAAAAATAAAAAGGTTTGGGGATATGGCTCAGTGGTTAAGCATCCTGGGTTCAATCCCCAGTAGCATCAAAACAACAAAACAAAAAAGAACTACACAACAGTTCACAAAGAATTATGTAGCACTGTTGTACTGATTTGCATAGATTTACCTCTGAAACAGGATGAAAAAAGCAAGTTATAAATAGAGGTATTCGATGATGCCTTTTATTTAAAATACTTTATATTTCTTTAGGAATATATATATATATATATATATATATATATATATATATATATATACACACACACACATACATACATACACACATACATACATACACACACACACACACACACACGCATTGGAAAAGGACTGGAAGGATACATATATACCAAATTCATAATTGTGATCATCTTTGGGGAAGAGAGGAGGGAACCAGGTTAAAGAGGAGGTATCAAAGGAAGTTCAACCCTGTCCTGATTATCTCAAAGTTTGTTTTTCAAAGAGCTTGTGTTTGAGTAATACTTCTGTAATTAAAATTGTTAACTGAATTAATGTATTTGATATTGATTGCCTTTTATCTTTCTTTGCTTTTCAGAATGTAATGAATAAGATGCATACAATTAGTGTACCCTACTCTGTTATGAAGACCTGTCCTCTGTCTTGGGTCCAGAGAGTCCATGCCCACAAAGGTAGATGCAGACAGCATTTAAGCTTTAATTATGTGGCTGGTTGAATTAAAATTTCTGGAACTTCAAGGGTTTTTACATTACCCCTATAAAGACAGATTTCTATGTGTTGGTGACTTAACAAATGTTAGAGCTCAGTTACTATAGAATTAGGTATGTTTCTATTTCATTTCAGTGATACTCTTTCTTAAGAATTTAGATGAATTTGTACAAGTTTGAGTCCAGATTAGACATATTGCATGCAGTGGTGTCCAAAATTTCCTTGGCTAGGATGCTGTGACCTGTTCAGAGGTCACAGTGAGCAACAATTACATATCTGTCAGTTGTCTAAATGTGGTGCTTTCTTCCTCTGAGTAGCTGGCACAATCTGTTTGAAACCTTTGTCATTTTCTTCAAGTAAGACTTTTGATCCCCCCAATTCATAGAAGTGTTTATATTATAGTGTTTATATTAAATATATACCAAATTTAGCAAATGTGTATGCTAACTTTATTTAAACCCTTTGAATTTATAGCCAAAGTAGCTTTAGTAAAATGTCGAGACTTGCACTGGGCTATGATGGCACATCGGGACCAAAGGGATGTAAGCCTGAGTTCTCTCCGAATGTTAATTGTAACTGATGGAGCTAATCCCTGTGAGTATTTCTGTTGTGTGGGCATAGGAATATCCTTTCCTTTGGTGGGTTAGGTTTTTTGTGTTCCTTTTTTAGAGTTTTTTTTTTTATCATCTATATTAAGATATAATTAATGTACCATAAAACTCATTCACTTAAAATGTACAATACAGTGTTTTTGTTATCTTCATGGAGTTTCACAACCATCACTGTGACCTAGATTTAAAACTTTTTTTTGATACCTAGGGTTGAACCCAGCGGCACTTAACCACTCAGCCACATCTCTAGCCCTTTTTTATTTTTTATTTTGAGACAGGGTCTTGCTAAGTTTCTAAGTTTTTGTGGCTGGCCTCAAACTTGCAATCCTCCTGCCTCAGCCTCCTGAGTTGCTGAGTTGCTGGGATTACAGATGTGAACACCATGCCTAGCTCCTTTTTTTATTTTTTTGAGACAAGGTCTCCTTAAGTTGCTTAGGGCCTCACTAAGTTGCCAACGCTGGCTTTGAACTTACAATCCTCTAGCCTCAGCTTCCCAAGTTGCTGGGATTACACACATATGCCACCACTGCTGGCAGTGGATCTATAAACTTAAACCACTCCTTGTTCATTTGTGTTCTTTCTATCATGTGACTGTGGGTATTCCTTAGATATAAGATTTACCAAGTTTATTTGTTATGACCTAGTATGTGAACTTTATATAAATTCTCCTAAGCAGCACACCAAAGGAGTTTGCAAAAACTTGTAGAGATCTTACTATTATCTCCTGTTTTTCCTTGTTAGCACAAAAATCCTATTTCTCTATACTGTAGAATTAGGTAAAGCATTTGACTCTTTGTCATAAGTGGATTTTTATCAGTAATTACATTGATCCTCCTGATTTAAAATATAGACGTGGGATTAACTTTAATAAGACAAAAGTTAAGGGATATCTCACAGAAGGTAGAACTAAGCCAAGATTGGCAATCCTAATTAATTCAGGAAGGGTTTCTAAATTAGGAACTGGCTGCAAGTTGCCTACAGTGCTATCTCTGGTATTGATTACTTTGGTAGGCATAGTCTAATTCTAAGTTCTAACTTTATAAATAATGTCAGTAACCTTTGATTGACATGTTCAGACTACCCCACAGGTGCAGAAAAATGTATGGAGTGAATGGTGTACTTTGTGAGTTCTCTTGAGAAACAAATATGTCAGCTTCCCCCTCTTTACGAGTTTCATGCAATAATGACAATTATGTTTTCAGCTTTCATTTGATATTTTCCACCCCATTAGGGTCTGTGTCATCCTGTGATGCCTTTCTGAGTCTGTTCCAAAGCCATGGACTGAAACCTGAGGCCATCTGTCCATGTGCTACATCTGCCGAAGCCATGACTGTAGCAATCCGAAGGTACTATTCACAATGTCAGATCCTGTTGATATGTGTTACAACTTGGGTGAAATGTGCAGTTTTTACCAGGTGATAAAAAGGAATATTATCTAATTTTCAGCTTCATAAACCTGTAAGCAAATAGTAACTTGTAAAATAGTTGGAAGCATCTCATTTATTTTTCCCACTGTTGCCCAAAGTATAACCACTAAACTGACAATTTTATTATACTCATCTCATATATGTGAATTAATTGTTTTTGTGGTGTTTTGTTCTTCTGAATTTTTAGTTAGCATTTTAGACTAGAAATAAGCTATTCTTGATTATGGCATAAGTCTAGAAAAACAAATTTATAATATACCCAAGATTAGTATATGCTTAATAGCCAATTAAAACTTTGCTTTTTTCACCTGACTGAAGGTTGACTATGTTTTGTACATGTAAATTTGGCATATTTTTGGTAAAGAAAAATGGAATTTCTTTTGTAGCCGAAGGAAATTTGTGTTTCTATACATTCATAGTTTTCTCTTGATATAATTTAATTTGCCAAATTTGATTTATTTTTTTTCTTCAGGCCTGGAGTTCCAGGAGCTCCTTTGCCAGGAAGAGCCATTCTCTCAATGAATGGGTTGAGCTATGGGGTAATACGGGTCAATACTGAAGATAAAAATTCAGCACTGACAGTCCAGGATGTGGGGCATGTAATGCCTGGCGGTAAGTTGTGGGGATCACCACTTAGATTTTCATAAAGATATGTCATCAGAGATAGTAGGGCCTGATAACATAAGAGATTCAAAACCAGGAATCCTAAATTCAGCACTTAACATAATTCATTTCTCAAGCCTCTTGAACAGTCAATTAGATAGAAATATGGTGACTGTTCCACAGTATTATATTACTTATCAACTATGAAGGCTTCCATTACACTTCTTCACATGAAAAGCTAAGTTCTAAGTGATACCAGAGTTGCCTGGTTTTCACTATAATTACCAAGCCTTTGGAACTGTCAGAAAGTTAGTGCATACTGTTTCCATGAGTATTTCAGTTTGACCTATCTAGGGATAACACTTAATTCATTTAACCTATTTCTTTGAACTTTTTGGTCATTTTTAAATACGTCACCCTTCTTAAATTTCAGATAGTTTCAGGGTTATTTTTGCCATTTCTTTTGGTATTCCTTTTGTTAAATGGTGCAAGGAATTGAACTCAGGGCCTCATGCACATTAGGAAAGTGTTCTACCACTGAGCTACATCCCTCAGTCCCCTGTTTGATATTCTTTATGCCACTTAGTAAATGTGAAACTTTCCTGGGCCTACAGGATAAAAGTCATTATTTTGCAAAGGTTTTCCAGAGTCTCTGTCTCTTGTATTTTTTTGTGCATTAGGGATGATGTGCATTGTGAAGCCAGATGGACCTCCCCAGCTGTGCAAAACAGATGAAATTGGAGAAATCTGTGTTAGCTCAAGAACTGGAGGCATGATGTACTTTGGCCTTGCTGGTGTGACCAAAAATACATTTGAGGTACATGATGTTAATATCTCATCGGGAAAATGTTTGATGAGGTCACATGTTACTCTGGCTAATGGGACATAGGAGAACATAGTAGTTGAGAGTATTGTGTATTCTGGAGCTAGATGCCTATGGTCAAATCCTGGCTGTACCACTTTCTGACTGACCTTGCATGAGTCATTTTAGCTTCTTTTGTGTCCCAGTTTCTTTATCTTAAAATGTAAGTGATAATAGTCCCTCCTTCATAGGGCTATTTTGATAACTAAGTAAGTTAATGTTTATAAAGTACTTAGATCAGCTTCTGGCACATAGGAGGTGCTGTTGTGTATCTGTTAGATAAATAAAGGAAAAGAAGCCTCACAAAAATTCATTCTGGTGAATTTGCTATAGTTTGAGCTTTATAAGCTCAAAAGTTTAATTTTTAAGAGTAAAGTGACAGTAGCATATGCTGTGTCAGATCACTGATTAAAATTGAAGAACTGTCCTGTTGTGGAGATCAAAATTGCTCATGTTTTTCAATCTTAGAGTTAGACTGATAATTACTGAGCAACTTTTATGTGTCTGGCACTATTCTAATGCTTGGGGTACATTAGGAAACAAAACAAAGCTCTTAGTAGAGCTTACCTTCTAGTTAAGCTAGCACTTTCTAGCTGAATAGCACATTGCTTTCATGCAGGCTGTTTGGCCTATGAAGCCAAGTCATAATGAGATGTTCACCTGGTCAGCCTAGAAATCACAGCAGTGGTAATTGGCTGTATTTCTTAATTAGGATTAACCTGCCTTAGAGGAGCTTTAGGGACCAGAGATGTTGAGTTGATGGGCTGTTTGCCCTTCACAGTAGATAGGGCTTACATGAGTACTGCCCATTTTCAATCCTTTGAATATTTTTCCTATAATATAGACTAGTGATTCTCAAGATGGCAGGACACTTGTGAGAATCAGTATGTGTGCTTATGACACATTCAAGAATCAGTACATGTACTTATGTACCAACAGATATCAGTAGTAAGAGAGTATCACCTATACGAAATATATCTCTGTTATCTGTGCTGTGGTGCCTGGGGGCTGACTGTCATCTTGGCATCTACACAGCCTAAAATGGTATAGTGTCATTCATTAAATGTCCGTTACTATCATTATCAGTACTATGTTTTTGACCTGCCTGTAAAGGTTGTGCCCAGTTGGTTCACGTTGACAGGAGTGGGTATTAGTGAACTCTTCAAGTATATGTTTACTGCCAGTTTCTTTGTTTACTTTCATGGGTGACTTATTACCTCTCTGGAGTTTATGTTTATTTTAAATCTCTATTTCTTTTTATTTCATTTTTTAAAATTTTGGTGGTATGAATTGAACCTAAAGCTTCATACATGTTAAGCATATGTTCTACCACTAAGCTACATCCCTCACCCCTATTTCTCCTGTTTTTAAGTGCTTGGACTACATGTTCCCATTGCCTAAAATTTTCTTCATTGAATTTTCTTTGCTAAAAACAAGATCCTTCATCAGTGATTTAAAGTACTAATAATACTTTATTTATTTTATTGCCTTTATTATTTTATTACCTTTCCTACATGGCAGTTGCCTAACCAGAATTCTCAAGACTTAACATGATAGTGATAGGACCAAAGTAACGAAGAAATTTTAAAACCCCCAGTATAAATGTAATAATAGCAAAGTAGAATAAAGTCCTAATCACAAAAGGAGAAGCTACTTCCTTGGCTTTATAAATTAAAATTTCCATTTTTTTTTTTTTTTAGCTAAAATCTTAGATTTAAATCCTAAGAGTTTTTCAAAGTTACTGATATTTCACTAGACCAGAAGATCTAGTAATGATTAGTCAGAAAGTAAAAATGTATTTTAAAGATAAAATTCTGGGGAGAAAACATTCATAATATGTTAGAACAAATAATGAATTTTCCATCACTGCCATGTGCTTGCTGTTTGATTTGTGGCAAATGAAACTCTGTACCTCATTTTCTCATCTGTAAAGTGGAAATAATACTACTATTTTGTGCGTTTAACATACTGTAATAAAGCAGGTAAACTTGTGTGTGGCATATGGTAAGTACTCAACAAATATTAACTCATGTGTTTGTTCCCTCTACACAAAAAGGTCTTAAAAATTAAAGAGGAGCCAGGTATGGTGGCACATACCTGTATTCCCAGCAACTTGGAGGATGAGGCAGAAGGATCACAAGTTAGAGTCTAGCCTGAGCAATTTATCAAGACCCTGTCTCAAAATTTAAAAAAAGTAATAAAAAGGAGCTCAGGATATGGCTCCCCTGGGTTCAATTCCCAGTACTAGGAGGAAAAATCAGTTAGAAAAAAGAAAATTTATGTGAAAATACTACTTACAAAATAAATTAGAATTGCTAGCAAACAAAGGAAAAGAAATTTAACCATATTATTAATAAAGAAATGCAATTAAAAAATAAAGGGAAGCAGGCATGGTGGTTTACGCCTATAATCCCAGCAACTATATAGTGAGAACTTGTCTCAAAATAAAATAAAAAATGCTGGGGATGTAACTCAGTGAGATTATTTGCCGACATGCTTAAGGCCTTGGGTTCAATCCACAGTACAACAATAAAATGTATATCCCTTTGTGCCAGAATGGCAAAGTTTGGGAAAATGGATAACACATAGTATTAAGTAGGCTATGGGGAAAATAAACATTCCAGTATGGCATTGGTGATACTGATTGATACAAATTTCGTAGGACAGTCTATGAGAATTGAAAACTTGTACAAATGCATAAAAACATATACAGTAGTATTCGTTAAAGCATTGTTTATTATATTAAAAAATTAAGATGACCTACCTACCCATAAAAAACTATATTGCATTCTGATAGTTAGGATTTCCTGAAAACTGACTCTAAGTTAGGCACTGTGCTTATCTCTGAAAAATTTGTTCATATTCCTTAATATTTACTCTAAGCCTATATATAGAGGCATTGAGAGTTTTGTTTTCTTACTGAAACTCTTGAGTTTCAGAAAAGACAAGGAACTTGCCCACACTCTATCTTTCTGGTAGATGGCAAAGATTCCAAGGACTATGTTGTCCTATCCCCTATGATATAGTATTCTATGGAGCTATTTTACAAAGTAGTCCAGATCAGTTATTGCCAAATTGGAAGATATCCAAGATATATTGTATGAAAAAGCATATGAAGAAAAAATGATATAAGCCAGGCCTGGAGGCACCATGCCTGTAATCCCGGCGACTCAGGAGGCTGAGGCAGGAGGATCAGAAGTTCAAAACCAGCTTTAGCAGCTTAGGCCCTAAGCAACTTAACAAGATCCTGTCTCAAAATAAAGAGGGTTGGGGATGTGGCTCAGAAATCAAATACCCCTGGGTTCAATTCCTAGTACTCCCCACCAAAATAAAGTTATATATAATATGAGCCCTTTTAAAAAAATGTTAATATACCTTTTAAAAGTTTGGAGAGATAAACAACAAATTGTAAGTGTTTATCACTTAAGGAAATGGGATTGGGCTGAAGATGTAGCTCAGATAGAGCACTTACTTGCCTAGCATACACGGGGTCTTCAGTTTGATCCCTAACATTGTGAAAAAGCGGAAGATGGAATTACTGGATTCATTATATAATGTTAGTTTTTCAACAAGTATGTGTTAACTGTTCTGAATTTTTTAAAGAGACTTTTTAAAACTCAAATACATTTTCTAAGAAAAAGCAGCTTTTCATTTTTTTCCTTCTGTCTTTTAGGTGATTCCAGTGAATTCTGCAGGCTCTCCTGTTGGAGATGTACCATTCATCCGGTCAGGATTGCTAGGATTTGTAGGGCCAGTAAGTAATGCTTTCATGTTGATTTGGATACATCTGATTGAAATATTTGGTCATTAATTCACAGTACAGAACAAATTCCGATTATACCAAGGGTGTTACATTGCCACTTAGCTTCTATTTAGAGCAGCTCTTTTAAGAATGCCATAACGTTTGAAGCCAGGTACCCAGTGATTCAGGAGACTGAGGCAGGAGAGTCAGAAATTCAAAGCCAACCTCAGCAACTTAGCAAGATCCTGTCTCAAAATAAAAAGGGTTAGGGATGTAGCTTGGTGGTTAAATATGCCTAGGTTCTATCTTAGGTATCAAAAAAAAAAAAGTCATAAATAACTAATGACTATTGTTTCTATTACCAAAGTTAGTTGACTCTGTCAGACTAAAACATTATCTTGAAAATTCACTGCACTTACTCTTGCTTTCTTTCTTTGATTTGGTTAACTTGTTGCAATGAGTTAAAGGAGTGCTGGAAAAAGTATGCTTCAGTACCAAGGTGTAGGGGTGGGCCTTATGGCTTAGTGATAGAGCACTTACTGGCATTCCTGAGGCCCTGGATTCAGTTTCCAGCAAAATACACACATACACCCAGTGAGTAGTAAAGGTAAACCATAATGTATAGCATTAGAAAACATTTTCATACAAATTATCAGTACACATTGAGTATAATAGTAAATTCTTTGAGTGAAAACTATTTGTTATTTAGTAAATGGTATTTATAAGGCACCATGTTTACAGAGACAATTAGGACAGGAAAAGCTTGTCCTCAAAGGGCTCATGGTGAGCTTCATGTACCCACAGTATGGCAGAGAGCCAGGTCACAAGGGACATTGCATGATGAAATGGGAAATTAGGATTTTATTTTGTAAGTAATAGTCATTATCCTAGCGAAGCTATATCCTCCATTTATCTCTAAATCTCCTATACTTTTCTTTCTTCTCTTAATGCTGTAAGTTATAGAAGAGAAGTTATAGAAGAGAAGAGCTAACTTTATTTTATTTCTTCCCTACCATTTTTGGGGGGTGGAGGAGAAGGCATAGGTCTAGGAGAAACATTTTCCTAGAAATAGTAATATATACCTGCTGTCTTGGATTTCTTTACTCAACACCAAGAAATTCTCAAAGACTCAGCTCCTTTTAGCTTATTGCTCCACTAAGAGGTCCAGGATGGAATTTCATCTATCACATCTGCATTCCAAGAAACAAAGGAAACAATGTAGCCTTATCCTCCTAAGGAAGATTCCTTAAAACTGCTGTGCAGGTCTTCCAGTTATATGTTATTGATCTACACCAGTCCCATGGCTCCATCTACCTACAAGAGGGGCTGAAATGCTATCTTCATTTTTGTCAACTATGCCCAGCTAAAAATTGTCTTAATGTGAAAATGGAGAGACAGAGATTGGGGGTCTGGCACTTTTTCATTATTTACTCACCAATACCAAAACTTTCAGACTGTATTAGAAATGGCTGGTTCTTCTCTGATACCTAGGATGGTTCATTAGCTTCTTGAGCATAAAGGTTCTGTCTTACTGCTTAGTCCAGTCAGTGTAAGGCAGTACACTGTGCTTTAGTAAGTCAACAAGTGATTTCATGTGAGGAGATAGCTACTAGATCATTGAACATGTGTATGTAGACCAAAACACTTACGAATTCTGTAATGAATGAGGAAAGTTAATTTACTACAGATAGGTCTGGGCAGAGCGTTTGCACAGTGATGCTTTGGGTGCTTTGAAGGTAGTTTCCTGCTGTTTGGTTTTCTTACTGGAAGAGAAAACCTCCTACAGTGACTTTTATTTTATTTTATTACAGAGACTTTTATTAGCCTGTTTCTAATCATCTCAAATGGAGATATCATTACCCTTATAAATATGAAACAATCATTCTCATATTAAAACAGTTTTGATCTCCTCCAAATTCTAGTAGTAAATGCATTTTTTTTCTTCTCTGCGTTCAATCCTTGAATAGATACAGAAGATGAACTAATACATACTGTGGCTGGGAAAATAAACTGTACCTATGTGGAATCCTAGAACAAATTCCCTTCTTATATATTGCCAGACCCTATTGGATATAAGATGCCACTGATTTCCCCCACTGATTTCAGAGATGTCAAAGGGTGAAAAACTTTATTTAAAATCCATGAAATATGAGCTGGGCCCAGTGGTATACACCTGAAATTCCAGATATTTGGGATACTGATGCAGGAATATATCAAGTTTGAGGTCATCTTGGGCAACTTAGTGAGACCTTGTCCTATAATGAAAAGAGTTGGGGATGTAGCTCAGTGGAGGAGTGCTCCTGGATTTAATCCCCAGTGTTGTTTGTGAAAGAAAAAAAAATCCATAAAATATGACATTGTTTTCTTTCCTATGTATCTGTATCTTTATATAGCTATATATCCTATAGATATAAATATATATGTGTATATATATATCTGTGTGTATCTATGTCTATCTCCATATCTATTATCTGTGTATGTAGATATGCAGATTGATTGACTAAGTGTGTGTGTGTATAGGATCAGATTGAACCCAGGGCTGCACTACATTTTTAGGCAAGAGTGTCTCTTATTTTTTGATGAGATTTATTTCAAAGCAGGAAGTAAAGTATGTTTTACTGTTCAAAATATGAGAACCAGAGTAAATTATTGTTAACTTTTCAGGGTAGCTTGGTGTTTGTGGTTGGAAAAATGGACGGATTACTGATGGTTAGTGGTCGAAGACATAATGCTGATGACATTGTTGCTACTGGATTGGCTGTTGAGTCCATAAAGACTGTTTATAGAGGAAGGTAAGTAGTATAGGTTTTAAATATTAATGCTTGTAAAGCAGTGCTTTGAGTGGTTTTCTGTAGATTCTCTTTTTAAGTGATGGGGACTTTTCTGTTAAACATAGCAGAAGCCTGCCTTTGAATATATATCTCACAGCATCTGTTTTTATGGCTATAATTTAAAGGAATAAGATATAACTGTATCCTACATATTTCAGACTTTAATTATTACTGTCTGTTCAATCTTGTAAGAGAAGAATTTTAAAACTTCAAACTTCCTACATTTCTTCAATACAGTAATGCCATTCAAACTAATGGAGATAGATGTTGCTCCATAGTTTATATCTAGCAATTATTTTTCTTGTTTCTAATTAAATTATTATACTATTTAATGTGGAGATTGACATAGCACATAACTGCTGATAATTTCAAATCCTTTGGGCAGTTAGGTATCTTTGCTTATTAATGCAAGTCCACATATTTGCTACATTTGAGTAGTTAATGTCTTATTTAGCAATTTATGATCATAAGCATATATTTGCATAGCAATCTTGGTGTCCCTTTAGTTTTTTTTTTTTTTTTAAGAAATAAGACAGATTAATGAAACCAAAAGGAAAAACTGGTTCCTGAAATGTGTTTTTTTGGTAATGGTATATAACTTCCTATGAGATATGAATTCCATAGGGTAGACCTTTTATCTTTGGTCATAGTTACATTCCCAGCACTCAGTACAGTGCCTAACACTTAGTAGATGTTAAATAAATAGGTAAGGATGGAAGAAAGAGAGGCAGGTGAACCACCACATTCAACTCTCCTGTGGCTTCCCATTCTTTCATGCATTCATTCAACAAATATTCATTGGATGCCAACCATGTGCCACTGTTTTAGATGATTCAGCTGTGGTGGTGAACAAAATAGACTAAGTCCCTGCCTTGGTCTCTGCCCTCACATTCTCATTGTGAGAAATAGTGACCAAGTAAACAGGGAACTAGATAACATGTGAGTGGGTGGTAAGTGTTGTGGAGAAAAAACACTTGGATGGAGGCCTTGCTAGTTTATGAGGTGGTCTGGGAATGCCTCACTAGTAAGGGGACATTTGAGCGGAGACCTCACTCAAAACCAAATCCATCCTCCCTCCTTCAGCCTCCCAGGCCTCCATGATCTGCCCTTGCCTGTGTCTGACTTTCCTCCTGCTCTCTGCTTCACCACTTTGCTCCAGGCACACTGGCCTTCTTGCTGTTCCTCAAACCTGCCAAGTTCGTCCCTACCTCAGAACTTTTTCGCTTTCCGTTCCTTCTGCCTGGAATCCTCTTCCTCCAGATCTTCGTGTGGCTCGCGTCCTCACCTCATTCAGGTCTCTGCTCCAGTGTCCACTCCCCAGGGAGGCGCTTCCCAACCACCTGCATACCACTCTACCCGGGCCCTGCCCCAGTGTGCTTTCTAGTGCACATCGCAACATGGCATTATTATATATTTGTTGGTTTGTTCTGTCTCTAACACATACACTCCATGAAGACAGGATCTGTGTCTTTATTACCACTATGTCTTTACCATTCATGAAAGTGGTGCTTAATACTTGTTTTTGAATGAATCCGTCCTCATTGTGGTGGTAATGATTGCACATTGTCTTTTCTGAACTGCTTTTTTTCTGGGTGGTGTGGGGGGATGTTTCCACTCTGTAATTCCAGTTAAGCAAAGCAAGTAGGATTGGTTGTAAAGGGAGTCTGATGTGTTTGATCTGTCTCTCTTAGAATTGCTGTGTTTTCTGTGTCTGTATTTTATGACGAGCGCATTGTGGTGGTTGCGGAACAAAGACCCGATGCCTCTGAAGAAGACAGCTTCCAGTGGATGAGCCGGGTGCTGCAGGTGAGCACATGGGCTTTGTTCAGTCTGAAGAGGCCACCACCCCTGCTTTAGCACTTGCTGCAATGAAACAGTTTTGCCATCTTAGTTTTTTTCTTGCCAGTCACTGCTCAGATATTCTAGGTAACTGTTACGAGAATCAGATAAATAATGACATTTTTCCTTATGGATAACATACATTTTTTGCTCACATTGCTAAGAACAATTGAACCGACTTGCCTAAGCACATTCTTCCATGCCTACTACCTATGAAAGTTTTAACTGTCTATATGTAAATACATCCACACAGTAATCAATTCACTTGTCAGCAGTTATTCATAGTGTTACTACATGCCATAAGTGGCACCTCAATGTGAATATAGATATTATTATTATGATTATTATTATTAAGTTAGAGGAGATGCTAATTGAGATAAACCATGAGGGAAGGAGAATGGCTTAGGGCTCAGTATAAGGGAGATGTTTTTAGTGGGGAGCAGGCTAGAAGGGTCAGAAAACCCCTACTCTTCGTTTAGATTTGAATCTCCTTACCAGATATGTGTGCTTAGGCAAGTGACTGAACCTCCTAACATGTAAAGTGGGGATAAAATGTCTGTTTTACAGAACTATTGAAAGGAGTTAAGTGAGATAATTGAAGTATGTAATACCTGTATTCAGTAAATAATGATGGTGATTCTTAGCATTATCTCCAATAAGGAGATTTGAAAAGTTCACTCTATCTTAAGTAACATTTCCTTTTTAAATTTCTATTATTATTTTGTACCAGGGATTGAACCCAGGAGTGTTTAACCACTGAGCCACATCCCTAGCCCTTTTTATTTTTTATTTTTAGATAGGGCCTGGCTAAGTTAGCGAGGCCTCACTAAGTTGCTGAGGCTGGCTTTGAACTTGCAATCCTCCTGCCTCAGCCTCCCAGGTTGCTGGGATTATAGACGTGCACCACCATGCCCAGTATAATTCCTGTTTCCCCACTCTTCTTTTCACTCAGCATTTATCACCATATAAAGTTATATTTATTGTTTTCTACATCTGCTGTAGATCCCATGAAGGCCAACACTTCTCTTTTGTTTACTACTCAGTCTGCAGAGCTGATAATTGTGCTAGCACTTGTCATACTAGACTCAGTAAATATTTGTTGGTTAGGTGGATGATCCAAAAAAGTGTAGACTGTCTTGTCTTTGTAATAACAACTTATATATTATTGGAAGTGTTCTCAGTGTTTGTAACTTCTGTCTGAGGCATTTGGATTTATTAACAGCCAGTTAATAGTAATATTCTAGAAATTATGCAAGCATGAGATAAAGTGATAGGGCTTGGTGACTATTAAGATTTCTTTCTAAACTCAGGGTCTGTGATTCTGAATTATCAACTGGGGGCCTGGGAATATAGCTCAGTTGGTAGAGGGCTTGTCTTGCATGCACAAGGCCCTGGGTTCAAACCCCAGCACCACAAAAACAAAACACATCTATGAATTATTAGCTGGTCTGGCATACACTTGTTTAATTTAAAATGAAAGAAAATATTTTAGAAAGAAATATAAAATCTTTTCAATCTAATTTTTAAAAGAAAATCTATTGAATATAAAATAGGAAAGAATATGTAGGACTGGGCTGTGCTCTGGAAGATGGCTAAGGGGCAAACTTGAAGATTATTTTCTTACCATTCATGTTTTCAAACAAACACAAACCTATTTGTTTTATTCAGAATGAACATTGGAGCATAATGGTAGAATATTATGAATTATAAATTTTTTCTATTATATAAAAGTGAATATAACTGAAATTTCCCAAAATAATTTTAATTTTTCCCTGGAAAGCAAATTTAGGAATTACCAGTCCAAATGCTTATAAAAGTCATTTGAGGGGCTGGGATGTGGCTCAAGCGGTAGCGCGCTTGCCTGGCATGCGTGCGGCCCGGGTTCGATCCTCAGCACCACATACAAACAAAGATGTTGTGTCCGCCGAAAACTAGAAAATAAATATTAAAAAAATTCTCTCTCTCTCCCCCTCTATCTCTCTCACTCTCTCTTTAAAAAAAAAAAAAAAAAAAAAAGTCATTTGAGATCTGATTTGTATATGAAGTGAGAGGCCATTATCTTCCCAGCCTTTGTGATTTCTCAGTTTAGACATTTGGGTCCATAGTGAATGATAAAGGATACCACAGAGGTTAGAGGCCAAAGGTGGCTTAATTCCATGTTTGGGTATAATCTAAATATGAGGTATCTAACTCATCACCTGCTAAGGAAAGGTGATCAGTAGATGATTTACTAGACCGATTATAATACATTTGCTAACTTTTTGTTTATTCTAAAAGACAGCAACTTAAGAACTACCAGACTTTCTATTTCTCAGTTTTGGCTTGTAAGATAGTCTGAGGAATATGAGTTTCAAATCTATTCCTTTGCCCTTTTTAAGTTGTTTTTTAATAAAAGGCCTTGTCCATTTTTTTTCTTGTCCATCTTTTATAACTGACCTTTATTATAACTCTCACTCCATTTTCCTTCTAAATATGTACTTTTTTGTAAGGTCTTTATTAATACAATAGAAGCCTCTTAACTGCTATTTTAGAAATGGTATTAATGGTTTTTCAGTTTTAAAAGGTAGTTTAAGCTGAGCCTGATGATACATACCAGTAGTCCCAGCTACTAAGGATAATAAAGAAAGAAGAACTGATCACCTGAGCCCAGGAGTTTGAAACCAGCCTGGGTAACATAGTGAGATCCTATCTCAATAAATAAAATAAGTAGTTGGGCATGGTGGCACACTGAAATTTCAAGAACTACAGAGGCTGAGACAGGAGGATCAAAAGTTCAGAGTCAGCCTCAGGAACTTAGTGAGACCCTAAGCAACTTAGCAAGACCCTGTTGCAAAGTATAATATAAAAAGGGCTGGGGATGTGGCTCGGTGGTTAAGTGCCCCTGGATTCAATCCATACCATAAATAAATAGCTCTGTAAAAATAATAATTATAATAAGATTTTAAAGCAGACAATCATAAAGAATACTTTAGGGGCTGGGGATGTGGCTCAGCGGTAGCGCGCTCGCCTCGCATGCGGGCGGCCCGGGTTCGATCCTCAGCACCACATACAAACAAAGATGTTGTGTCTGCTGATAACTAAAAAATAAATATTAAAAAACAAACAAACAAAAAGAATACTTTAGATATTCTTTAAGTATTACATTTTAACACAAAGCATAAATGTCTGTTCATTGGATGTAGAATAGTATGTATGAGTGCACCAGTTTGGGTTCCAGATAACTTACTTTTATAAACTATACCCAAATGCATATCTTTAGTTTCTGGTTTAATTTCCTTAAGTTGGAATGAGAACATAGGTATATTGGAAAGGTAACTTGAATAGATAATTTGTACTTTTTGGATTAACTTGCTTACCTATCAGCAGTAGTTTTTTAGGAGCTCACCTTTAATATGTCTTTACAAAAGCCTAATAACTCTTTCATTCTTTTTGCATTTATATCTGATCAATTGATATAACATCTAATTAAACAATGTGAACATAGTAACTAGAATAGAATAGCTGTCATGAATAGTGTAGAAATCAGTACAGTTGACTTTCAGTAGGCATCCAGTGACATGGTCGGGAGTTGAGTGCACTGAGTGTAGTGTGTGGTCTCCAGTGCTCATTGCACTGTGGGCCTTCCCTAAATGTTCTGTACAGTGTAGTTTCGGTATCATGGTGGATCACTTAAGTGGGGGCCGGTTTAGAGAGTGTCTTGTTTTCCTAATAATTAACTTTGTCCCTATTTAATTAAGCTATGTTGTACAGGACAGAGGTTTTTAAAACCAAAATAAATTCTCAAGGTTTTGACATTATCATTTAAAAGGGAACATACTGAATCTGGTAAAGAGTATCCACCTCTATTTAGATTGTATATAATCTCTCTTCTGTTAATTTCTGTTATAGTTGAAAGATATATGGGATCATAATGATTATCTTTAGATCTTCAGTTATATGAGAGCTTAATGATCAATCATTCTAGACCTAGAGTGGATAAAGAAAAACCCTACAGTAAAACAATGGATCGTGTCAAGATCGTGTCTATTGTAGTAAAAATAACCTCACTGAATATTTTCTTCATATTTTTCTAGGCAATTGATAGCATTCATCAAGTGGGAGTTTATTGTCTTGCTCTGGTGCCTGCCAATACATTGCCAAAAACTCCACTAGGAGGGATTCATATATCTCAGACGAAACAGCTTTTTCTGGAAGGATCTTTACATCCTTGCAATATCCTCATGTGCCCACACACCTGTGTGACGAATTTGCCAAAACCTCGGCAAAAGCAACCAGGTAATATGCTAGCTTACAATCAATAAGCCTCTCAGAATGATTCTTTGTTTAGAGTTAGACATTACAAAGACCAGTAACTCATGAATTGCATCAGCTGACCAAAAGCAAGGAAGTTTGAGACCCTACAGAATAGGCTTCTTTGGGTTTACTCCTGTCCCCTCTTCAGAGTTCTCCTGGGTATAAAGTATGAGTCAAGATGATCAGAATCCCTCTGGTAGAACTAGAATAAAGGCAATTCTATAAGGGAAGATTCTGATAACAAGAACAGCTGGTATTTAGTGAGTGCTTCCTAAATGTCAAATACTAAGCATTTTGCATATATGATCCTAAAACTTTACCATCAGCTGTGAATAATAAAATTCACATAGCTAGTTAGTGGCAGAACTGAAATTCGCACTTCATGCGACTAAAATTTCTTTGAAACATGATGGCATACTGCCTTTCTGTTGAGAGTCTCTTACCTAGATTCATGCCTCATTTCTTTTCAGCTGTTAGGGTCTGAGTTGGGTCTGTAATACATCTGAGGAGTAGAATCTTTTTTTTTTTTTTTTTTTTTAAAGTTGTGGATGGGCAGACTGCCTTTATTTTATTTGTTAATTTTTATATGGTGCTGAGGATCAAACCCATTGCCTCACGCATGCTCCCAGTGTTTAAAAAAAAAAAAGATAAATCCAACATGAAATCATTACATTTCATTGATACTTTTTTCGTTTTAAGGCTCCTAGTTTCATGTGAATGCCTGAAACACATGAAAGCCAAAGTCTGGCCTCTGCCGATTATTCACATGTGTATGTATACACACAACATTATGTATCAGCCTCCAAATGAGAAAAGATGACTATGGGAGAATTAGAAAGAGAAGGGAAGGTGTGACATTTAATTATATTTCTGTGAGACAGCTTTTGCTGAAAGAGAAACATGATGTACCATAATGTATAAAGTAAGCCTGTGACTCTAGAATATTGCCATCATCAGGATATTAGATGGTGGAATGAGACAGACATCATTACCCTAGGTGACATGTATGATTGCATAAATGGTGTGACTCTACATCATGTACAACTAGAGAAATAAAAAGTTATGCTCCATTTGTGTACAATGAAATGAAATGCATTCTGCTGTCATGTATAACTAATTAGAAAAAAAATGTTAATATAAAAAAAGATGTTAATATACCCTGCTCTGCAGTAATTATTGGTCTGCTCGCTGAAGATCTTAGGTTTATCCAGATGTTATTGTCACCTACCCTTGTGCTATTGACAATATGTATAGAGTTAAAGAATATATGATTTTTATCAGTTTTTGCTAGTATTCTGAAGGGGCATTCAAAAGCAAGAAGTTTGTGTGTTAGTAATCAAGAAATGTATAGGGGCTGGCTTGTGGCTCAAGGGGTAGAGCACTTATCTAGCATGCGTGAGGCACTGGGTTTGATCCTCAGCACCACATAAAAATAAAATAAGGGTATTGTGTCTATCTACAGCTAAAAATTAAAAAAGAAAGAAAGAAAGAAATGTATAAAGAAATATTTGCAAACACATTAACTGCCTAGGCATATGGCAGATACATAAAAACACACATGGGACTGGGAGCCGAGCTCAGTGGTAGAGCATGTGCTTAGTAGATGTGAGGCCCAGGGTTTAATCCCCAGCACTGAAAACACACATAAATCATTTCTCCATCTCCAAAGTCTGTTAAACTGCAGTCCCATATTTACTTGTCATATGAGTAAAATCTTCTTTTTTAAAATTCTGGTGATTGAACCCAGAGGTCTTTATCACTGAACTATATCCTCACATCTTTTTTTTTTTTAATTTTTAAGACAGGGTCTCTCTAGGTTGCTGAGGTTGACATTGAACTTATGTTCCTTCTGTCTCAGCCTTCTGAGTTGCTAGAATTATAGGTCTGTGTCAGGTGTAAAATCTTATTTTAAATAGCATTTAATGTAGGATTCTTTTAACAAAACATTTGTGTTGGAGATACTTAAAAGATGTTGCTTAAAAATATAGTAGAAGCTTAAGCAGTGCTTTTGCAAGTCAAATTTCATCTTATTTTATCAAATAATAAAAACCTATATAAAATATTTATTCCTAAGCTTCCAAAGGCATAGCAACATTTCATCCTGTCTGGTGAAAGCACTATGTTTGATTTAATATTTTTGCTTTCTTTTGTGATTGTCTGCTAAGATCTTAGTTGGATACATATGTATAGAACCAAAGCAGTTTGAAAATCATGATATCAACTAGTGGAGATGATGAGAGAATAGAATGAGAATTTAGGATTTGAAAAAAAAATAGAGAAAAATGGACATGATTAAGAAGTGAGATAAGAAAGGAAAGGAGAGGAAAAGGAAGATAGAAAAGTTGTTAAAGGCCAGAAGCAACAATCCCATTGAGATACCTATTGGTGCTTAGTTTAAAGAAGAAGAATATGTCAAATGAGTAAAAATTTTTGGTGTGGGGGAATTTTTTCTGGTTCTGTCACTACACTTTGCAGATAAACAGCTTAAACAAGAATCAAGGGGCTGGGGTTGTGGCTCAGTGGTAGAACACTCGCCCAGCATATATGAGGCACTGGGTTTGATCCTTAGCACCAAATATATATATGTGTACAAGGAAATGAAATACATTTTGCTCTCATATAACTAATTAGAAAAAAAAATGTTAATATAAAAAAGATGTTAATATACTCTGCAGTAATTAATAGTCTTCTGTGTGTGTGTGTGTGTGTGTGTGTATTGTGTCCATCTACAACTTTAAAAAAAAAAGGAATCAAGTTTATTTCTTTCTTAGGTAAAAGAAATTCAGAGATAGACAGGCCAAGGCTAGAATAATCACTTTGCAATCACGTTCTTCCAGCATTTCATCTTTTTGCTCTGGTGTTATGTTAGCAAACTGGTTTTATAGATGTGTTATATAACAAATCTAAAACTTGGTTCTCTGAAATAATAAGTATTTGTTTTTCAATGATTGAATACAAATCATCGGGACATGACTTGGCCCCAGGCTGCAAGTTAGGTTCAGAAATAGCCATGTGTTTCCTCATGATGGGACTAGCCTCTACTTAGGTTGTATTTTTCTCAAGGCAGGTGGCAGAAGAAGAACCAGCCAAAGCACATAAGATATTTAAAGCTTCTGTTTCTTTCAGGGTCTCCTAACATTTCATCATCCAGAACAAGTTAGACCATACCTAAAATCAGTGTAGCAGAAAAGTAGAATCCTTCCATGTGACCACAGCTAGGACAGGAAGGAAAAGAAGGAGTATGAGAAAAAGGAAGAAAAAGAAGGAGTATGAGACTGTCTCAGAGTCTGTTAGGATCCCTGACCTCTAGCCATCATTTCTGATTTCTACATCATTTTGTATTCTGGCTAGCAAGTAGCAGAAAAGGGTAAAGAAATAAATAGTGGGCAGGGATTGTAGCTCAGTGTCAGAGGACTTGCCTTGCATGCATGACATGAGGCTCTGGGTTTAATATCCAGCACCACCACCCCCCCCCCAAAAAAAAAGGAAAAAGTAGAGAATATTTTCCCTTTAAACATGTTTTCTAGAAATTGCACCTGCTACTTTCTCTTACATGTTAAGCCTTTCACACTATAAAGAATGTAGTCTTTAGGCATGTGGCACATGTCCAGCTAGAAACTGGGGATTGTGTTATTAATAAAAAAGTGAAAAGCAGGCGTTGCGGTTGACAGATAACAGTTTTTACCATAAGCTTATCAAGTTTTGGAGAGAAACAAGAAGGTATGTTTACAGGAGCAAAAGTATCTATAGTTAGCTTCTTGAAGTTATTGCTTTCAGTATTTTTCACTCTGGAGCCCATAGAATCAAGAAATATGCTCAGAAGAATTTCAAAATATTGCTGCTAAATTGTTTTTGTGGCTTAAAATTGACTTTTAAAAATGCAATGCCTTTATTAATTTTACAGTGTGAATTCAGGATTGTACAATTCACACAAATGTACTCTGAATTCCTACATACGTAAAGATTCTCTCCAAAGTGATCTAGCTCTAATTTATTATATAGTTTCATAGACAGGAATATTGCATATAGTACTTAAAATTGTATTAGACAATTTATAAACTAAAACAGTTTAGCACTGTTGGAATACTTTACCTTTTTTCAACTTTTTTATTTGACTTTTAATCTTTCTAAACTTTCATTTTGAAATAATTTCACACTTTAAAAAAAAAGTTGCTTAATGGTACAAAAAATTCCCTTATATCCTTTATCCAGCTTCCCCAACTGTTTACCCTTTTAAAAGTGATTATATGACCTAAGTCATTTTGTGTCATCTGTTTTAATAACTTTAGGATCATCAGATTTGGACAATACTTAGCTGGTATTAAGTTTGATTTGTTACCTTTCTGCCATCTTCTTAGCTTATTAAGGTAGAGTCTTGGTCTTCAAGTAACCCTAGCACTTCTTTCTTATTCTTATTCTTATTCTTATTCTTATTCTTATTTTCTTCTTCTGATGCTGGGGATTGAACCCAGTGGCACTTTACCACTGAACTACATTCCCAGTCCTTTTTATTTTTTTATTTTGAGATAGGGTTTTGCTACATTGCTGAGTCTGGCTTTGAATTTGTGATCTTCCTGCCTCAGACCCCTGAGTAGCTTGGATTATAGGTGTACACCACCACACCCAGCTCTAACATTTTTTTCTTAAGAGTTGGAGGGATGTATGGATTGATTGCTTGCTTGATTGATTGTATTGGGGATTGAATCCAGAAGCACTTTACCTCTGAGCTATATCCACAGCCCTTATTTTTATTTTTTTAATTAATTTATTTATTTTTTAGTTGTTGATAGATATAAACTTACTCCCATTCCTCAGATAGCAAAAATTTTTAAGACTAGATATTTATTACTATTAATACATTTTGATTAGAGCAAAAGAAATTATTTATCAGTGGAAACCAGTGCAAAGGCAGTTCCTCAGGCTGAAAACTTCCCTGTATACCCTAGCTTCAGTAGCCTCCTTACTTCTATTGCTCCCCTAACCATGACTCTCCTGTGGTCCTGTTTTATCTTTTTCTAGCAGTTCCTGCTACCTGACTTTGTTTATATGTATATATACTTCTTGGTTGCCTTTCCTCTTAGAATATAAGCTCTATCCTGTTTGATTACTGCCTTCCCAGTGCCTAGAAGAGTGCTCTAGTCATTCTATTATTGAATGAATGGTTGAACCAGTTTGGGTCAGTCAGGAAATGCTTTGAGGATAGTTAGATTGAATTGCTGTTTTCAGAGCGTTGATTTTTGCCTCTATTTACAGGTGTAGGCCCTGCTTCCGTGATGGTTGGGAATCTGGTTGCTGGAAAACGCATAGCACAAGCTGCAGGAAGGGATCTGGGGCAAATTGAAGAGAATGATTTAGTGAGGAAGGTAAGTGTTCCAGAAGTGCTGAAATTTTACCAACGAGTCAAGGACAGAACTTACATTTTAGATACCATATAGGGGATACATTGCTTGAAAGTTGCTGACCATCAGTCTTTTTTCTGCTTTATGATTTCAGCACCAGTTTCTGGCAGAGATTTTGCAGTGGCGAGCCCAGGCAACTCCTGATCATATACTCTTCATGCTGCTAAATGCCAAGGTATTAAAAATTGAATTGCATATCTAATTAACTGAATTCTACGGGAGTACCTTAGGCACTCTCAATCTCTTTTCTTTCATCAGAAAATTTCTAAGGAAGGAGTTATTGCTTTTTCCTTGTTTTGACACATGAGGATAAATTATACAATCACTCTTAAGATTGAAATGAGACCTCCCAGAGTGCTATTTAATACTTTATTTTCTTGTGTTATAATCAAGTCTTTTTAAGAATGATGGGGCCAACGGTGCAATTGTATAAATACACAGATGTATGGAACATATTATGTCATATTTTTTAATCCAATTTGACTTTTAATTATTTGATTTCTTCCAAAAAGAAAATTATTTTACCCCCATATTTTAAAAACAAAACCTATTTTTAGTACTTACTTAAAGGATTAATTACTGACAGATAAAAAACGAATTGAAAATTATATAGGAGTACATTGGCTAGGTTTGGTGGCCTGTACCTATAGTCTTAGCTGTTTAGAACACCAAGGCAGGAGAATCATGAGTTCCAGGCCAGCCTGGGGAATATAGGAAGACCCTGTTGCAAAGAAGGGGAAACAAAAAAAGAAGAGAGAGTATATTTCACTACTGGTTCTAATAGATGGTTTATCATAATGTTGTGGGTTTGTTTTTTAAAAAAACATCTTTTTTTTCTTCTCTTTTATATGTAGATGAGCACAATACCTTTATTTATTTATTTTTATTTGGTGCTGGGAATCAAACATAATGCCTCACACATGCCAGGCAAGCGCTCTACCACTGAGCTACAACCCCAACCCTCATGGGTTTGTATCTACTGTACTAGGGATTAAACCCAGAGGTGCTCTACAACTGAACTACATCTCCAGCCCTTTTTATTTTGTATTTTGAAAAAGGGCCTTGGTAAGTTGCTGAGGTTGACCTTGAACTTGTGATCCTCTTGCCGCAGCCTCCCAAGTCACTTGGATTATAGACATGCAACACTTTGTTCAACTCCATAATATAGGTGTGGGTTTTATTATGGTTTTTTTTTTTTTGGGGGGGGGTACAGGTGATTGAACTCAGGGGCACTCAGCCACTGAGCTACATCCCCCAGCCCTGTTTTGTATTTAGAAACAGAGTTGTTTAGCACCTTGCTTTTGCTGAGTCTTGCTTTGAACTTGCAGTCCTCCTGTCTCAGCCCCACAAGCCACAGGGATTACAAGCATGCGCCTGGCTAATATTGTATTTTTTTTGGTTTTCCATTCTGTGGTAGTCTGATATATTTTCTTTAACTTATTAATGATTGAGTCACAGACTGAAAGTATTGTGACCAAATTATAGCAGTTCTCACCAGCAGAGGCAGATTGGAAAAGCCTATTGGATCTCTTAGGGAACTTATCTGCTCTGTCTTCATATAATCTAATTTTGGGGGGGGTTAATTTGTTTGTTTGTTTTGAGAATGTATGTAGTGATAAATCTTAATGAGAGAAGTATGCTGTGCATTAAAGTGGAAATTATTAAAAAATTTTAAGAACAACTGCTTCTGTGAGACAAAACTCTGGGACTTCCTTGCTCCATATATTCAGGCAGTGGGCTTCTCTTCAAGTCTGTGGTTCATTCACTAAGGTTCTTATACTTTATTAAGAAGCCATCATTTTGGGGCTGGGGGTGTAGCTCAGTGGTAGAGTGCTTGCCTTGCATGTGTGAGGCCCTGGGTTCCATCCTCAGCACCACCTAAGAATAAATAAATAAAAATATTGTGTCCATCTACAACTAATTATTTATATATATATATATATATATATTTTTTTTTTTTTTTTTTTTTTTTTTAAAGCCATCATTCTGGTCACTTCCCACCTCACTCCCAGGCTTGGATATAGTTTAAGTTGTGGATGTTATGAAATCCATACCCCAGATATTTGTTTGTGAACATAAATTTAAATTTGCTTCTTGTTTTAATATAAATGATTGACTGCCCAAAGGGCGTATAATTCATTTAATTCTATATATTCTTGTATTTTGCCTTGGATAAGCCTAGGCCACCAGATTATTAACCATACATTGTTCCCTCATGCATAGAATATTGTGTTTACTAAACTAAAATTTGCTCTTGTGCCATGAACCAGAATGATTTTTCCCCCCTGTGGTGCTGAGGATTGAACCATGGGCATCCTACCACTGAACTATATCCCCAGTCCTTCATTTTTTTTTTTTTTTTTTTTTTTGAGACAGTGTCTTACTGAGTTACTGAGGCTGGACTGGATCATCTTGTGATCCTCCTGCCTCAGCCTCCTGAGTAGCTGGGATTATAGGCCACTCTGCCCAGCTCAAAAAGAAATAGCCTTATAAATTTAACCCTGACTTTAGCCAAAGGCATATTAATTTTAGTGTTATAACCTTAATGCTGAAAATAAACAATCAACTAAATAAATTATGGTTATAGCCATTAAAAACAGTGTTACAGAGGAATATTTGATGACCTAGAAAATATTTATCATGTATAAGGGGAAATATGATATAAAATGTAATAATTGAATATGTACTGAAGATCCTATTCTAGATATGAGGAAACCAAGCACAGAGATTATAGAGCTAATAAGTGATAGGAGTAGGAAATTAGCTCTTTTTTTAACGTTCAGTTTTTGATTAACAAGTATAAATTGTACATATTAATGGGGTACAGTTTGTTATTTCAATACATGCATACAGCATGTACTAACCAAGCAGAAATTAGTTCTTTACATTTATTTGAACCCTAACTTGTGGAGCACACATTCTTAACCAAAATGTTGTGCAGCCTCTAGCAGATGACATGATACCATGTTGCATGTAAATTTACATATAATATATATTCATTTTTAAAAGACCAGGTAATAGTACAACCATCTGGAATACAATTTGGCATTATCCAGTAAAGTTGAAGACTGGCAATCCAGAGATGCAGCAGTTACATTTTTAGGTCTGTATTCCATTGAAACATGTATTTAAGCGTAAGAATACATGTCCAAGAATGATAATGTCCATCAGCCAGAAAGTGGATGAATAACTTGTTGTACCTTCATACAATGAAATATTATATAGCAACATAGAGGAATAACTGTACCTACACAAAACAGCATGATGACTTATAAATAATGTTGAATTAAACCAACTGGGTGTGGTGGCGTGCTTCTGTAATCCTAGTGACTTGGTAGGCTGAGATGGGAGAATCACAATTTGAGGCCAGCCTCAGCAATTTAGCAAGGCTCAAAATTAAAAATAAAGGGCTAGGTCCACTGGGGTCGTAGCTCAGTGGGAGTATATTTGCCCAGCATGTGCAAGGCACTGGGTTCAATTCTCAGCACTGCATATAAATAAAATAAAGGTCCACTGACAACTAAAAAAATAAAGTGCTGGGGATGTAGCTCCTGGTAGAGTACTTAACCTAACAAGTTCAAGGCTCTGGGTTTGATCCTCAGTACTACCAATAAATAAATAATAAAATAAAAAGGGCTCGGTATGTAGCTCATTGGTAAAGCACCCCCAGGTTTTATCTCTAGCACACACCCACCACCTAAAGAAAGAAAGAAGTGAAGCACAAAGGAATTTATACAGCACAATTCCATTCATTTACAATTGAAAATTATTCATGAATGTTAACAATATAAAGAAATCAGTGACCAACAAAAACATCAAGATAGTGGTTATCATGGGTGCTTCTGAGCAGCTAGGAGGGTTTTATTCTTATCCTTCTGGTGTCTACACTAATGCTTACTTACTAATTTTTCATTAAGTTATGTGCATATTTTCCATTTTCCCTTATACGTGTCATGTTTCACAAGGAAGGGTTCAAAAAGCTCTCCTCAGTCAAACTTATGAAGACTCACAGGAAAAATTATTGTCAAGATCAGGAAAAGGGGCCTGCAGTTGTGGCTTGGTGGTAGAGCGCTTGCCTAGCGCATCTGAAGCTCTGGGTTCGATCCTCAGCACTACATAAAAAATAAATAAATTGGGCTGGGGATGTGGCTCAAGCAGTAGCGCGCTCTCCTGGCATGTGTGCGGCCCGGGTTTGATCCTCAGCACCACATACAAACAAAGATATTGTGTCTGCCAAATACTAAAAAAATAAATATTAAAATTTTTTCTCTCTCTCTCTCCCTCTTTCTCACTCTCTCTTTAAAAATAAAGAAAGAAAGAAAGAAAGAAAGGTATTGTGTCCAACTACAACTAAAAAATAAATATTAAAACAAAACAAAAAGGAAAGGGTCTCCTCATCTTTATTATTAGCTGGTAGATTCTGCATACTATTTTTGTTTGTTTGCATCTTCACTATTAGCAAACTCAGAGCCAGGTTTGTGTTGTACACACAGCAGATGTGCATGACCACTCAACCATCACTTACTGTCTTTACCTCACACCTGCTCTCATCCTATTTTGATTTTTATTAATTTACTTTTACTCTTATTTCCTCACTTACAAAAATAAAAGATCATATGTATTTTTAAAACTACTTTAAGGAAAAATACTATAAATAAGTGTTTAGGTTAATTTTATTATGCCCTAAATATCTACAACACTTTTTTAAAAAAGAAAAGGAATCTTATACCTGCCTTTTGATACTAAGTAATAGTTTGCAAAAGATAATCTACCAAAGCACAACCCTTTTAGGTATAATGTCAGATTGGTTGTGCTTTTCCCTTGGTGGTTTATTTTCTTGATGAACTTTGATCTGCTTATCCTTTCTAATAATGTTTAAAGGGAACTACTGTATGCACAGCCAGCTGCCTTCAGCTTCATAAGCGAGCAGAGAGGATTGCATCAGTTCTTGGTGACAAAGGACATCTAAATGCAGGAGAGAACGTTGTGTTGCTCTACCCACCTGGTAAGTGTTGGATTGGTAGACTACTAAACTCCAAGACTAGACTACATAGTAGGAAAGGTCAGGAACTCTGGGCTACCATCTATGACCGTGGTACTGTGTATTTCCCAACACCAAGCAACCATGTACCATAAACTAAGGTGTGAGCCAGGTGACATATCCCATAGTTGTGCAGTGTGATAGCTCTTCTTGAGATTCTGTCTTTTTGACTTACTCTTCTATTTCCATTATCAGTGCCTGGCACATAAAAGTCACCTAGTAATTATTAAACAAATGAATGAGTGAATGAAGATTTCAACTACCTGGCTTTTGAAAACCTTTGAAACAGATGATTTGAGGTTGAGCAGTGGTATATACTCATGGGAGTGTACTGGGGAGGCTGAAGCAGGAGGATTTATTGATCCCAGGCATTCAAGGCCAACCTGGGCAATGTAATGAGACCCTGTCCCTTCCGAAAACAAAGCAAACAAACAAAAAATGATTGCCTTGTTTCTAGGATGGAATGGGACCATTTTGCCTGGCTTCCAAATGATTGTTGTCTTTGAATTCTGTTGACTTAACATTCTTTGTATTATTATTAGTGTTTTGTTTCCTCTTGTTGTTGCTTTTATCTTTGATGTTCTAATTTAATTTAGTCATAACCTTCCCTTCATAGAAAGAGGGTTAGGATTATTTGATAACAGGATTATTTGATAACAGTTTGCTGTCACCAAATATTAGATGAAATATTTGAGTAATCTCTTTATTCCTATTCCATCAGCCACATAATCCACTCAAATATCCAGCCTTCTTTGGTCACTTATCTCCCTTATTTCCCTTCACTCTAATAGACTTTACTATGGCATTTTATTTTCATGGATACTGAGATTTCTTAGATCATCTGGAATCTCTCCTGCCATATTCCCATGTAGTTGTCTTCCATCTATCAATTAATGATTCAGCAACAGACTAGAGCACATCCTGAGGAGACCTCTCACCCAGAGTCTTCAAATTGAGCCACATTTTTCATCCCTAAAATACACAAATTGAGTAAACAACAATTAAGAAGTCTAATTACTCTTCCTATATCAGCCTTCTAATATTTTTATAAAAATTTAAATGTTCCTCATTTCTTCATTTCCTATTTTATCTTCTTAGTTAAAACTCCTCAATTTCTGTAATAAGTAATGTCAAGTAACAATATGAACATGCTTCAAGTATCTTTCAAGGGTTTACCTCTGATATCTTCCTTGTTATCTGTTCTTGGCTTCTCTTTTAAGTTGTTTTAAATGCTGCTTTGCCTTCAGTTTGTTCTTAAGGCACTGACAGAAGAAATTTATATTATTAAGTTCTGATCTGAATGACCCAGCTGGCACATGATTTTGGAAAATCCACATTTAGTTTCTTAGTGATAGTATTTGATTAAATGGCTCTCCTGACAGGACCCTCTGTCTTGCAGGCATCGAGTTAATTGCTGCATTCTATGGGTGCCTGTATGCAGGGTGTATACCTGTGACTGTCCGACCCCCTCATGCTCAGAACCTTACTGCAACATTGCCCACTGTTCGCATGATTGTTGATGTAAGTACCAACTGTATCTTGCATTGTCTTCATATCATAAGATCGAGACTTAAACAACGAAGGATCCTTACTAATTTTCCAGTTTTGTTGGTCCAGGAAGTGAAAATTTTCTCCTAAAAACAATCTCCTTTTTTCAGTCTCCAAAGTAATCATCATTATTCAGTGAAGGAACTGTGTAGGAAAATTGTTTTTGGTGAAATATGGAATTGTGGCCAATAATCATGAACATTAAGGAGGTGAAGTTCTCATTAGCAATTCTCTGTAAAATTTGTGCCCCCCCTGCTTAAAACATGTTGTCTGTTTGACATTTCTGCACAGTAATCAAGTGTTACTTGCCAAACTCAAAAATCCTCCCAAGTGGACCTACGTAGGAGCCCAGGCCCAGGCTAGTCCAGTCCACTACACTGACTGGCAGACCCATGCCAGAACTCAGGGCCCAGCCCGGGGCCAGCTCCACTGACCTGCCCGGGAGCCCATGGGAGCCCAGGCCTAACCCACTTCTATCTTGGGACACTGCAGCCATCGTCATAGCCCTCCCCACACAGTAGCCTTCTCCTTATGACAACAGGGTCTAGAAGCAGCTGCATCTCGGAACAGGCAGCCCAGGCCATTGTAAGGCCTACCCTTTCAGCTCCATTTCTGAAAGAGGTTGCATCCATCTTGGGATACCCACCCTGCTATTGCCACCACCACCTATAGTTGCAGTAGCATCCATCGTGGGTCATCTGCAGGGACTGGAAGCCCTATAAGAAGGTGAGGTACAGATAATCTGCATGGATACTATAAGATTATAGAGTAGAAACTGTTAATACCTCAGATCCACACTGCAAGAAAGGAAGATGCATAGACAACATGAAAAAACATGGAAAAACGTGCCCCAAACAAACCAGGATATTACAATAATAGAATCCATGGACAGTGCAGTTGATGAAATGACAGAAAAGGAGGTCAGAATGATCTGTGAATTAAAGAATGGCTGGGGTTATAGCTTAGTGGCAGAGCACTTGCCTTGCACATGTGAGGCAGTGGGTTCTATCCTCAGCACCACATTAAAATAAATAAAATAAATAAAGATATTGTGTCCATATTTTAAAAAAATTCTTAAAAGAATGACCTAAATGAACAAATACAGGCAAAAATTGATCAACCAACACAGAGATAAGGGAGCAAATACAGGTAGCAAAAGATTACTTCAAGAGTGAGTCAAAGGGGCTAGGGCTGGGGCTCAGTGGTAGAGCGCTTGCCTTGCACAGGTGAGGCACTGGGTTCGATCCTTAGGACCACATAAAAATAAATAAAGATATTGTGACCATCTACAACTAAAAAACAATTTTAAAAAAAAAGAAAAGAAAGAAAGATTCTGAAAAAAATCATAAATACTTGAAATGAAAGAAACAATAAAACCAAATAAAATACTCAATAGAAAGCATCACCAACAGACTAGATCACTTGGAAGTCAAAACATCAGATAATGAAGAAAAAGTATACAATCTGGAAAAAAGTTGACCACACAGTGAAGATGGTAAGAAACCATGAAAAGAACATCCAAGAATTATGGGATAGCATCAAAAGACCAAATCTAAGAGTTATTGAGATACAGAAAGGCACAGAGATTCAAACCAAAGGAATGTACAATCTCTTCAATGAGATAATTTCAGAAAATTTCCCAAACATGAAGAATACAAATACAAGAGGCTTACAGGACACCAAATATACAAAATGACAACAGTTCTACACCAAGGCACATTATAATGAAAATGCCTAGCATACAGGAAAAGGATAGAAGTGTAAAGGCCGCAAGAGAGAGGAATCAGATCACGTATAGGGGGAGGCCAATTTGTATCTCAGCAGATTTTTCAACCCAAATCCTCAACATATACCAAGCTCTGAAAGAAAATGGATGCCAACCAAGAATCTTATATCCAGCAAAATTAAGCTTCAGATTTGATGATGAAATAAAAACCTTCCATGGGGCTGGGATTATGGCTCAGTGGTAGAGCACTTGCCTCATATGTGTGAGGCACTGGGTTCGATCTTTAGCACCACATATAAATTAATGAATAAAATAAAGACACATAAAAAATTTAAAAAAAAAACCTTTCTTGATAAACGAAAAAAAATTTATAGTGAGAAATTTGGACTTAACACACATATAGACTATTTCATCCATCAACTAGCAAATATACTTTCTTCTCAGCAACACATGGATCCTTCTCCAAAATAGACCATATGTTATACCACAAAGCAAGTCATAGCAAATACAAAAAAAAAAAAAGAGAGAGAGAGAGAGATAGTACCCTGCATTCTATCAGACCATAATTGAATGAAATTAGAAATCAATAATAAAAAAGAGAAGCTACTCCCAACACCTGGAGACTATACAATACACTATTGAATGACACATGGATAACAGAAGACATCAGGGAGGAGATTAAAAAAAGATTCTTAGAGGCAAATGAGAACTCCAGTACAAGTTATCAAAATCTCTGGGACACTATGAAAGCAGTGCTAAGAGGAAAATTCATTGCATGGAGTTCATTCGTTAAAAGAAGAAAAAGTCAACAAACAACCTGACATTACAGCTAAAAACCCTAGAAAAAGAACAAACCAACTCCAAAAGTAGTAGAAGACATGAAATAATTAAAATCAGAGCAAAAATCAATGAAATTTAAAATAAAGAAATAGTTCAAAAAATTGACAAAACAAAAAGCTGGTTCTTTGAAAACATAAATACAATTGACAAACCCTTAGCCATTCTAATAAATTACAAATTATCACAAAAGACACTATTGAAATACAGAAAACAATTAGAAATTATTTTGAAAATTTATACTCTAGTAAAATAATAAACCTCAAAGATGCTGACAAATTTCTAGAGGCATATGATCAATCCAAACTGAGTCAAGAGGACATACACAATTTAAACAGATCAATTTCAAGCAAGGAAATAGAAGACACCGTAAAAAAACCTACCAACCAAGAAAAGCCCAGGACCAGACAGATTCACAGCTGAGTTCTATAAAACCTACAAGGAAGAATTAATACCAATACTCCTCAAATTACTCCATGAACTAGAAAAGGAAGGAACCCTTACAAACTCATTCTACAAAGCTAGTATCATCCTGATAATAAAAATCAGGCAGAGACACATCAAGGAAAGAAAATTTCATACCAGTATCACTGATGAACATTGATGCAAATATTCTCAATAAAATTCTGGCAAATCACATACAAAAACGTCTTAAAAAAATAGTTCACCATGATCAAGTAGGGTTCATTCCAGGGATGCAAGGTTGGTTCAACATATGGAAATCAGTAAATATAATTCAACACATCAATAGACTTAAAAGATAAAAATCATATGATTATATCAATTGATGCAGAGAAAGCATTTGACAAAATACAGCACCCTTTCATGTTCAAAACACTAGAAAAACTAGGGATAGTAGGAACATAACCTCAACATTGTAAAAGCTATATCCTAAACCAAGGCCAGCATCATTCTAAATGGAGAAATTTTGAAAGCATTCCCTCTAAAAATGGGAACAAGACAAGAATGCCCTCTTTCACCACTTTTATTCAACACAGTGCCTGAAACTCTAGCCATTAGACAGACAAAAGAAATTCAAGGGACACCGATAGGAGAAGAAGAGCTCAAAACTATCATTATTTGCTGTCGACATGATTCTATATTTAGAGGATCTAAAATACTCCACCAGAAAACTTCTAGGATTAATTAATGAATTCAGCAAAGTAGCAGGATACAAAATCATACCCATAAACCAAATGCATTTCTATACATCAGTAATGAATCCTTTGAAAGAGAAATTAGGAAAACTACCCCATTCACAATAGCCTCAAAAAAATAAAATGCTTGGGAATCAACAAAGGAGGTGAAAGACCTCTACAATGAAAACTAAAGAACACTAAAGAAGGAAATTGAAGAAACTTTAGAAGATGGAAACATCTCCCATGCTCTTGATAGGCAAAATTAATATTGTCAAGGGAGATGATGGCGGGTCAGAGGAAGTCAGTATTCTGTGTCGCTCCATGACCTGGGACTCAAGTGGTGAGAATACTGCTTCTCTGTGAGCGATATTCCTGCTTCTGCATGGGAATCACAACCACTGTGCCTGTCCAAGGCTCCAGGTCACAGCATCAGAGTAGATCTCCCAATTACTTGTCCACACAATTGGGTACCTGAGCAGACACCATCAACATCCACACAGAACTTTCAGCTATGCCCCCCCCCCCACAGCAGAAATCACCAAAACCATTCTCACGCTGGCCACCCGGCAGCTTTCCACACACAGGAACTCCAGCTGACACTCCCATGAGGACCCCCATCTACCAACGTGAGGCTCTTCTAGTTGCCGCTGTCTTGGGACTCTTCAGCAGTGGAGATAGTTCCCTGCTGGTAGTAGCCTCCCTGCACCCAAGAACCTCACATAGGCTCTGAAGTCATCCGACAGCCACACACTGTAGCCACAGAGCTTGTCTCTGAACTCATTGTCTCATTGTCACTCGGCTCCCCCACACACAACCTGACAGCCCACCGCTGAAAGATGCCTCCATCTTGGGTCACTTTCATCACTATCTTCAGCAGAGGCAACACCCAGTTTGGAACTCCGGCTGGCCAGGTACCCAGTTTCTAACTTTCCCCCTCTCCCAGCAGCTACTACCCCGTTACAGTGACACCCTGGTTTCCCCCACCATTCTGAGGGCAGAGATACCAGCTAACAACAGCCGACCCCACCTATTGGATGAGAAGGGAAGCAGGAACGATATGGATTTCCAAATCAAAAGCAATCCTGTTTCATCCTTCAAGATTCCCCCCCCGGCCCCCGCCATTCTTCTGCCCTCACATCTCCAACATATGTGAAACCAAGTACTTTGCATGAATTAGGATTTTGAGAACTAGGACATCTGAATAGTATATTATAGCTATGTTGTATATATATTTTTTCCTTTTATCCCACCAATTTCTTCTATTTTAACAT